GCTACTAGTAGAAGGGACGCTACTAGTAACAAGGTGCCTTACCACCAGTAACAAGGTGCATCGCTACTAGTGCTGCTAGTAACATGGTGCCTTACTACTAGCAACAAGCTGTATCGCTACTAGTAGCAAGGACGCTACTAGTAACATGGTGCCTTACTACTAGTAACATGGTACCTTACTACTAGTAATAAGGTGCATCGCTACTCGCTACTAGTAACATGGTGCCTTACCACCAGTAACAAGGTGCATCGCTACTAGTAGCAAGGACGCTACTAGTAGCATGGTGCCTAACTACTAGCAACAAAGTGTATCGCTACTAGTAGCAAGGACGCTACTAGTAACAAAGTGCGATACCACCAGTAACAAGGTGCATCGCTACTAGTAGCAAGGACGCTACTAGTAACATGGTGCCTTACCACCAGTAACAAGGTGCATCGCTACTAGTAGAAAGGACGCTACTAGCAACATGGTGCCTTGCTACTAGCAACAAGGTGCATCGCTACTAGTAGCAAGGACGCTACTAGTAACATGGTGCCTTACTACTAGCAACAAGGTGTATCGCTACTAGTAGCAAGGACGCTACTAGTAGCATGGTGCCTTACCAACTAGTAGCAAGGACGCTACTAGTCACATGGTGCCTTGCTACTAGTGACAAGGTGCATCGCTACTGGTAGCAAGGACGCTACTAGTAGCAAGGTGCCTTACCAGCAGTAACAAGGTGCATCGCTACTTGTGTAGCAAGGACGCTACCAGTAACATGGTGCCTTACTACTAGTAACAAGAATCTACGGTTTATACATTTTATACCCATGTCCCATCATGTCCCACAGGTGCGGACAACAGTTCCGCGCGGAAAAGAAGAAACATAGCTTGAGGCTGTGGCTTGGACCCACCCTTGAGAACACCTGCGCCACCAAGGCTGAGCAAGACGAAGAAGGCTACCAGGGTGGGAGAACACCTGATGATTTGATGAGACTTGGTGGTCAGAATGTGTTGCTCAACTCCGCCAAGATCAGAGGAAACTGTTTTCAAAAGGATCCTGGATCCTCTTAAACTACAAAAAGAGAGAGTTTGAGGCCCTTACAAGGGTTGTTGTACAAATGAGAACTGCATTTTCTTTTGATCAGGTACCCACCACGGTTCTTTTCAGAGTCCCTGTTGAGAACCGCAGACAGTAACAGGGTCCTTCTGCCTGGATCCTTCTCCCTGCGTGGGTTTTCACAGAGAGAGGGAACCAGCCAAACCAAGAAGTTACAGCAGCACTGCAACAGCTTTGAACAGAACTACTGATTCTGTGTTGCGCCTTTGTTTTTACCCGCCTCTTTTCCTCAATCAGTCAAGCCGTAAAGGGACACATAACTAACCAAGAAGTCTGGGTCAGTAACAGACAAACGCAAACAAGCAAGGATATTTTTGATTTTGTTCCACGCTCTTCACACCAAACCTGGGGCTGTCTTGGTTGCTTTCGCAACTTAGTCGAGTCGCTGGATTACTTTGCAGCTTGGGACTTGGGTGATGCGTGGCTGCCTGTCCAATGAGAGGCTGAATTGCATGGCATGACTGGAGGCCACAGGAGTTAGGCCATGGCTTGCTGGCCTGAATCGGATACGATTATTCGTGGATGACATGGACTGATATGGATGACACGCCACCCACCTCCAATCCGGGACTTCCGCATGAAGGGAGTGCAGGAGGAGTTGGCTGCCCACGCAAAGTTGCTTCAGTTCTCCCAAACTGCGAGTTGGTACACTCCGAAGGCAAGAAGGTGCAGGGAGAGGATGAGGTGGTCGGCGGACAGGATCCTCAATCTTCAAGTGGCAGGCTGCTGAGCAAGTTTCACATGCCTGGTTCGCAAGGCCCAGAGCCACCACCTGCAGTGCCACGAACCATGTGCAAATTGCACAGATGCTTGCTTCTTTTGCGGGATTGAATTTAGGATTCAAGGAAGTTACCAGTCTGGACAATATTACTGTAGCTCAAATCTCGCCCATGTTCACTCTTGGCTAGTTGGTAGCTGCTTTGGAAACAGCTTTGTAACTGACCTGCAGGCCGCAAGCGCCGCGGGCCCACAAAGGAGGTGCCCACGACCATGGTGTGGCTTAGTCGCAACAGGATGCAAAGGGCAACATGTCTTGGATGATCCTGGGCTTTTAACCCCACAAGTTCCCCTGGCGTTCATGAGTTCCAGGCTGTTGTTCCAGATTCCAGCAAGCTTTCCTGAAGTTTCCAACATGCCAAACATCACCACCGAATGTTTGTTTCACTGGTGTGAGCGACATCAGCCGTAAGTGTGCGATAGATACTCAATACATCTTAATACCAGCAAATTCCTGGGAAGCTACTTCATCATCCTATCATCCCGTCATCCCCCATGCACACCGCAGTCGCTTTTTTTCGAATGATCCATCGGCGTTGGGTCGATGTGGACGAGGTACAACACGATGCTCAAAGCTTCAGCGAATGCAGGGGACGTGGAGGGTGCCAATGAGATGGCAGCTCTCATGCGCCAGGGGCACCCAGAGGACGGTGGAGCGAATTGGTTGGGGGCAGGGGAGTTTCAAGCAAAGCGGTGAACGAGTAAAGCGCCCATACAAGTTCTTTCCAATTGCTGTGTGCGCGATCTCACCAGCCTTTGAGCCTTTCGCTTCTGAGTTCCAGAAAGGCCATTCTGAGTTCATGGCAGGTGCGGAGGGCTTGTTCATGAATGAAAAGTTCTATGGCAAAATGATGGAGGCTGCGGCCAAAGCAGGACCCTTCCTTAGCACCAAGTCTTGTCAGCTGTTGTGCTTTGGCTTGTTGTAATTCCTCTTTTGTCAGAATGATCCCAAGGGATGTACTATTGGGGAGCTCTTGAGAAAACGGTTCAAGGGTTCAAGGGAAATTCGCCTGAAACACACGCCACATCACGTCACCAAGAAGATCAGACATGATATGCGGACAGATCATGTGCACAGCTCACATCAGACTTGGGGGCCGTGCAGCTTTGAGCCGTCCAGTGAGTAAGGTGATATTGCCATGGCCACCAAATGGTTTGAGGAGAGCCAGGCCTTTGATTCTCCGTGCAGTGTCCTTGGAGAAGGTTGATTTAAAAAACAAAACAACAACAATAATAGAATAAGGTAAAACCACTAGTGGGGCATCCTTTTTTGATCCATCCCCGTCGTCGATATAATATACGTATAATATATATATACATTCATGACATATCGTTATAGATTTATTTATTTATTTATAAGCTATATGGTTTTTCAGTGTCCATTTTAATCAGTCCTCAACAAGAGCTATGTGAGCTGTTCGGGCGAGGCGGCTAAAATGCCACCCAACTATGTACACTTCTTTTGCGTGGTCGACGCACACGTCAAGGTGTGGGAAGAAAGTCGCTTCGTTGCTTCGCCTTGCTTCGCCACATTGCCCGCTCTCTTGAGCCTGTTTGACCCTGCTGGAATCAAGACACCTGATGCAGGATGTCGCTGGTTCTGATATTCAGGACTACTGTATTCCGTTCATAGCTTCACATTGAGAATCCGTTTTGCTCACGATGCCAAAGTCATGGCTAGGCAGGTGAGCTGGAACAGGCCAGACAATGGCTAGCGAGGACTTGAGGATTTGGGAATGACCGTGAGAATCAGTGAGAACGGTTTCGTGTGTGACTTGGAGGCTTCGGCTTGAGGGGAGTGGAAGGGCCATTGCTTGGCATTTGGAACTAATGCGCTTGAGCAGGACGCGAGCGGCAGGCATACCTTTGCAGACCAACATGCCGAGCCCTGGGTTGAGGGGTTCGTTTTGGTTTGGCTGGCGAAATGTTGCTCCAGAACCGAAAGTATCAAGTTGTACTGTCAATTGAATTGTTGATGGCCACGACTGCTTTCCAGGTTCAATCTGTTGATCTTGGCATTTGCTTCCAGGGGCCAAACCCAGGCTTGCGGAGACACTGAGCCATCCTCGGAATGTGGGTAAGAGGATCTAATATAGTAGCAGTAGCAATTTCAATTTCCTGAACAGTTGCACTCAGTTTGAGAGGCACATAAGCAAGCACACTAGAAATGGCTTTGAAGGGTTCGGACACGAATTCTGTCACCATTTTGCAGGAAGCTACTGGTTTGGTACTCAGCTGAAGAGGGTACAACAGGTGACGTCTACATGTCTCAGCATGTCCCAGCCCATCTTAGCGCTACTATGATAGGTCCTCATCTCACTACCATCATCCACAAGAATCACAAGATTCCACAAGTCTTTTCCGGGTAGGGACGGGATATCTCCGGTCTTTTGGAGCCTTCTTACCTCTCGTGCTTCTTCGAGTCGAGACGGCGTCTCCGTCTCTCGTCGCGGTCGAAGCGGTCGTATCGAGGTTTGCTGCGGGAGATGCTGCAAGAAGGGCTGGATCCCGACGTTTCGTCCTTTGCTGCCTTGGCAGTGGCTGCTGCACAGGAGATGAGAAGAGCTGTCATGAGCTGTTACGACGTGTTACGGTAAAAAGGAGGAACCAATCCCATTTCCCCGTAGGCCGAGGGGTGTACAGGCAGGGTGTCCCCTTTGGAGCCCTGCAAGACGTAGTGAGGCTTGAATTCCTGTAAGACATTATAGATTCTAAGACTGCAAGTTCCGGATGAAACAAACAAGCAAGTGCTTGTTTGGGTGAGTAGCATGTCAGTCATGTCCACAGTTGGCTCAATGACGCCAGTGATCGAAAAGAATCGTGCCCCAATGAGGTCCCGATGTGGCCCAATCGGGTATGCTATGCATAAGCTTTGTTTACCCTCGTGACTGGCCGCTTCAGCCAGTGAAGCTGAAACTTGCGAAGCCTTTTTTGTCATGAAAAAGGGCATAACCCATTTACGGTGTTTACTTTTTTGTGACTTAGTAGGACCAAACAGGTTGGGTTTGTCCTATTACCTGTGCCTGTAACAGTCAGTAAAAAATTATTGCGTACTATTTTGGAACAAGGCCTTTACTAACCATCATCATCCACTGTTACTGGGAATAGGATAGACCCAACATATAGGACCACAAGGGTGAGGGGGACTGGAAAGGAATGTGTAGGGTCCATGCAACCTTCCGTTCCAAACTGTTTGTTTTGATTCAATCGGTATAATTGTCGAGAGTTCTATCGTGACAGCCAACCTGCAGTTGCAGCTTAAATAGATGGGCGAAGGCATACAATCAATAGTGTTAAGACCTGAGTCAGTACTTGCAATTGGTGTTGCTTGGGTGTTTTGGTACAGGCATGTTGCGTAAATTTGTTTAACCACTCCAGGCCCTTTCGGGATGGACACCACCAGCTGCAGGACGGAGATGATGCAGGGGCAGAACGAATGATGATGAAAGCCAAAGAGCAGAAGCTGGAATGGAATGCCCAGGCCATCGGCCATCGTCAATTAAACCGCTGTCATACCATTACTAAGCATCGTCAATTAGGCTGAGCAAGACCGGGATGTCCAGATGAAAGTGCGAGTAACAATTGGCATCGCTACGTTCGTAACAATTGGCATCACCATTAGTAAGCAAGGACGCTACTAGTAGCTCCTGGCATTACTACTAGGAGGAAGGACGCTACTAGGGGCTCCTGGCCTCACTACTAGTAACAAGAAGCTACTAGGGGCTCCTGTTCCATGTGGTTTTGAGCACGTGGGAGTTGCAAACATCCGGATCCCTTCGATGACTGGAGGCGACGCAAGTGGCCTTTGCACGGCCTCGGGCTTGGCTTTCTGACTCCTAAACAAATTCTTTCATAAAATACTGAGTAGTATAATGTAGCATACTATAATATACTATACATGTTTCATTGTTCTTCCACGTAATTTTCCCACCTGTTTTCCACCATTATACGTCAGCTTTCGCGACACCATCGCTGGCTCGTCCTCCCCTAGACTGGCAGCAGTGAGCGACTCCGCAGAACGTGCAGAGGGTTGGTTGCGGAAGATGCAGGAGAGGGACCTCGCTTCGGAGGAACAGTACAACTATGTAAAAGTTGTGCACATAAAAGTGGCGCGAGTCATAGACGGTACAACACTCAGGTCATCCATGCAGTAGTGCTGGTAGTTGCATTATGTTGTATTTCTTCCTTCATCAACTTCGCTGTTCTGGCTTGGTACACTGTGTAGCCCTACAGGACAGCGGATTGACGAGCCTTGGAAGCACGAGCAATGGTAAATAATCCTAGTGCAAGTGCAAGGGGCTCATTCCCAAAAACGTGGCTATATACGTGGTTGCTCGCCTTTGGTGTTGCATGTTGTTGGAATGGTGGATGCTGTTTTCGAGTCTGCATGTTCGCATGTCCAGGCCGGGTTTGGAGAACTTCACCGTGATCGTGGATGTTCTCCAACTCAGCAAACCCGAGTCGATCTTTGGTTTGGAAAGCGAGTCAATGGAGACCATGGAATCGATCGAAGTTGATTTGTGGTCCTTTGACATGTTTGCCTCAAAACATATCAAAAGCAAAGGACCCCGAAAACAATGCGGATGACATGCGGCAGCAACTGCTGATTTGAACTGATTTGGGATGTCAACCGGCAACCGGGCTCCTGGGGTCAAAAGAACAAGGCCTACGCAAAGGAGGGCCAAGTGGACAAGGTCGTTGCCCTCATGGAGGACCATTGCAACCGCATCATGGATTGAGTTGTTTTGCAACAATATGGACAGACCCAGAATTGCATGGACCCCCCCTCGTTTTGGAATGCCAGATTAATCTCGTTTTGGAACGCGCAGCATCCATGTGTTTGAAAGGTATCATAGTTGTTTGTCACTTTTTTTCCGGTGTTTTTTCCACATTGTCTGGGTATTTCAGTGGTTTGTGTTTTTGTCTCTGTGATGTGTCACTCGTTTTTTACGTGTGTTTTTTTCTTATCAACTTGTTTATTTCAGTGGTTGTGTATTGAGTTTTCTTCTGTGTGATTTGTTTCTGCTTTTTTCTGTTGTTGTTTTTCGTGTCTCCTGGTTTCTTCTTGGCCGTTCTTTTCACGAAAGCTAGCGAAGCTAGCTGGAGTTACTCTTGCGATAGCAAGGTTTCTTTCGATCGGGTGCAAATCCTAACCCCTGATCTTTCAGGTCGAAGCCCCCCCCCCCTCTCCCCACCTCCCCTCTCCCCACCTCCCCTTCTCCTCCTCCTTGTCTTCCTCCCTCCCTCCCTCCTCCCTCTTCGCAAGTTCGACTCCGTCCTGTCGTCGCTCTTTGGCATGCGGTTAGCGTTGCGTATCTTGCGGCCGCACTCGCTCACTCTCACTCTCACTCTCACTGTCTCTCTCTCTCTCATCTCTCTCATCTCTCTCTCCTCTCTCTCTCTCTCTCTCCTCTCTGTCTCTCGTCTTTCCGTCTCTCTTCTCTCGCAGGAGGATCCGGGCAAAGAGCCACATATAAAGGACTCTTCACCTGGAATCGTTTGCCCCGCCCAACTTGTGCAAGGCGTCCTGCCTTCTGCTACTCTGTGCGACTGCCTCCAAAAAGAGCGCCGTGTTTTTTCCTACCTCGCTGCCCTCCACTTTCCCATTCTGGAGCGCTAGCTTTCGCCCCCCCCCCTTGGCCTCAAGTCTTTTGGTGGCTGTTTTCTTCCGTGTGATCTCTCAGTTCGTTTTGTTTTTTACTGTCTACTGCTTTGTTTTTTTGTAGTTTTCCTTGTCTCTTGGTACACTTTCTGGGTGTTTTGTTCTTCTATGTGATCTCTCACTTTTTGTTTGTGTTTTTCTTGTCTCGTGGTTATTTTCTGGGTTGCGTTCTTCTTTTGGTTTCGTTCTTCAGTGTGATGAGACCCCTCACTGTTTTCTCGTGTTTTTTTGTTTTTGTTTTTTCTGTATGTTTTGCTTGTTCGTGTGTTTAGGTTTTTTTCTTGGTGTTGTTGTTGTTTTTTTCTTGCCTCCGACTTGCCTCCTGCTTTTTTCTTAGCGTTACCTTTTGTGAGCCACCTGAGGGTAAGATTTAGAGCAGAAAGGAGCCATGCCAACGTAGCATACCTTTTGTGACAAAAACAACAGGGCCAACTTGAGCCTGTGTTCCAAAATTGGGCCTAATCGTGTGTTTGTGTTCCAAATTTAGTCTAATCGTGTGTTCCGAAATGAATCTAATCGGACACTTTCGCATGTGTTCTACATTGAGTCTAATCGCGTGTTCCAAAATGAGTCGTTTGCCGAATTATACTCATGTTTGCAAAATTTCTGGGTTGGAATCCGTTTGGATTCTGTTGTTACAACCAGTTTTTGCCACACCATTCACCCGTGCCGTGCGAGGAAATGGTGGCTGCCGATGTGCCCTGGTGGTTTCTTGTTACTCTTCGCCCAAGCTCTACACTACACTTCCAGGTTTTGGGGCTCTTTCCCCCTCTGCATTCTGAAGGCCTGACATAGGTTCTAAAAATGTGCGGTCCGGTTCTGTGGATCCAGAAGAAGGGTAAATGTGATGCATGGAGAGTCAGCTTGATTCTTTCAGCCAAGTCCTAAAAGACGGACTTGGCTGGAGTAGCCAAGTAGCTAGTATACTAGTATGTAGTCAATCTTAACAATAGGTTTGGGGGCAGTGTATCGAGATGTCATGGATTCTTGCCAGGGATTCAACATGTCAGTGCCTCATGAGAAAAACACAAAGACACATCTTCAATCTTCTTCACACGTTCTGGTCATCGCATGGTCGATTGCATCCTGTTTGGCTCGAGGATACCCACCATGCTGGTGACTCATGTAGGAGAGCCCGCCAGCTTCTACTAGTGCCTGTCGAGACTCGTATCCCTGTGCGTAAACCTGCATTACACACTGACAGCATTGCTGTAGAACTGCGAGGGCACCCCAGAGATACCTTGATTTGAGATAGCCCACAAGATATGATGTTGAGACATGTTGTATACTCTATACTGTATACTAGACACACTAGGCAAACCTCAACCACATCAAAAAAAGCATGTGTGAATTTTGTGGACGATTCTGCTTGCTAGGGGACCATTTTGCACGTTCCAGCTGACTTGAATATGTTTGTAGGAGCTGAGCCACCAGGAAACATCGCAAAAGTTGCACCACGCGTCTCAACAGAATTGGGGCCAACCTTGCTTACTACCTTGCTGCAATGTGCAAGGTACAGCCATCGGTGGTGACCTACAGCAGTGCCATGTATGCATGCATAAAGGCCAAGTTGGCATGGATTCCGATGCCTTAACAAAGCATGTTTAAGCGAGATGATCGTACATTTGAGCGGTGTTTTGTCTTTGAACCCGTGCAGCGATCAAAATTTGATCCCCACCCCACACTTTGAATATGCCATCACAACTAAAGTTTAGTATTCGTAGTAACTAGTATTTTGCAATTTCGGACTCGAGCATCCCCCGTGCATTATTAACTGTGAAAATGTATGTACCCAATCTCATGTTGGCCAATGTTCTCAAATCTCCATTCGCCTTCCAGCTGATACAGGCAGGACGATTGGATCAAGCTGAGGTCATGCTATCGATTCTAAGCTGCATGCAGGGGGTCCAGTCTTCCACAGTTTGGCCTTGGCTTTCCCTTTCCCTTTGCGTGCTTTGTGGGGCTGACCAGTTGATGGGTGTGTCACAATGGGATCGCTGACCAAGCACTGCCAGGGTGCCGTGACCGGGTGCCGTTGGAATTGTGAAGTCTCCTTCTCGTCATGAGACATGCTGGTCCAATCCATTTGCGGGAGGGGCAACAGACGTAAATATCGTAAATGATGCAGATGAACAACGTTCGAAAGAGTTCACCTGAGCTCACAATGATAATATATATATATCTATAAATATGACCAAGTGTTCTTCTGCATGTGTGTGGCGTTCCAAACAGACAATGATATTCTGGAGTGAAGCAAAAAAGAAACTGTATATATATATATACATATCAAAACGATGCCAAAACCTACGAAAATATATTTTGTTAGACTCTGGCCCAGATGTTAGCTTGTAGGAAGCAAGAGGTTGCTGTTGTGCTGTATGTGACCGGAACCTTAAAAAAGCGATACCTGGTCTAGCTATTCTATTTTGACACACAATAGTTTTGATGATGGTTCAGATGCACTTCCACTAAACTTTCATCATTTCACTGATGCAGTGATTATGCTATTCCTCTTACTCGTGTCAGTACACCATCCGAGCTCAAGTTTTGTGTTTGGACGAGGCAGATGATGGACCTGGGTTTGAACCCTGATGGCAGCTGAGCAGCATGTTTGGCCTGCCCCCGTGCTTCTGACTTTGAGAATTGACATGACTTGGGAAAGGAGGTGCTTCAAGTCAATGAATCAACACAGGCTTCCCCTGCATATGCAGAACGAGAGTGTTGGGGCTCAACTGTTTCCAGGCGTTGCTTATGGCACCATCATGACAGCCTATGCCAAGGCTGTGGGGAGGTGGGGAGGTGAAGAGGACTTGAGCTGAGTTCTCTTCAGGAAGTCCTGCATGTCCAATCAAGATACCGGGAAATGTCTCATTTCAGGCCGAGGGCCGTCTCCTAACAGCCCTGCTGCGTTGTCTCACTTGGTTGGTGGGTGGGACATACTCAATTTCAGCTTTGCTGAGGCCGGGGAACCTCAGGGCGCCATAAACATCGCAGAGCAGATGAAGGTGCTCGATATGTTCGCATTGTTGCCATCATTTGGGTGCATCGTTTGTCGTTTGGGCTGCCAGGACGATTTGATTTGGGAATGTATATGTATAGATAAAAATTATGAAGGGTGGAAGGCTGCAGAGGTGATGCTTGCCTTCTATTATATAGATTCTCTAATTCATGTTTCAGCATATGTGCGACTGTGCTCGAGAGAAAGTCAGATATAGCAATGTTGAAACAAAATAGTTGACAGGCCAGCGGTATCCCAGTGACTGTGCGCGAGCACAACAGCATCTTGGAGGTTCGCACCCGGCTCATTCCACGGGGCCATGCAAGAAAGCATCCGGAGTGTATCAAGGCAAGATAATAGCACTGTAGATTGCTTCCAAGATCCAATGTTGCAAGCCCAGCTTGCAAGTGAATATACTTGGCCTGTGGAAAAGTAACTTGACTCAAAGTTCTTGTGCAATGCTTAGTGCTCCTTATTTTTTAAGGCAGCAGTTGTTCGGCATTTCAATGTATATATTTCAAAATTTTATGGAAGCAGCACTGTGAGAAGCTGTTTCGGCAGCAGTTCAAAAAGAGCAGTGACCACCGCCAAGCCCAGACCAGCCTTGTCAAAGCTGCCAGGCCTTGGTGAAAGCTGGGAAGCCCAATGACGCTGCGCGCTATCTCATGCAGATGCCGAAAATGGTGGCGACCTTGGTACATCGGATATGGTGACGGGGCACTTCCAAGAATAGATGCATGCTTCAGGTCGACCACGCCTCGCGGTACAAGTGGAAGAGGCTGGCACTGAAGCACAATTTTCCAGTGAGAGACAACTTATACAAGTATAAGGCATAATTAAGTTCCTAAGTAGGTCTAAGGCCAAACCTGTTCTCCATGTTGGCCTGCGTGTTTCTCAGGGGCAGCAGTGACCCTGATGTGTACTCCTACGCCATTGTTATGGGAGCGCCCAGCACTAAATTTGCATTGAATGCTGCGATTCGCCACGAGCAAAGATATAGCATTTGTTCGTGTCACGGATGGGAGCGAGTCATGGATAGCCTGTTAGATGACACATGATGACACCAATATGACCAATATGTGTTGCACATTAGAGTCGACATTAGGTGTAAGAGAAACCTTGGTTACTGCTCCCAGTGTCCTAGTAGTAATGCCAGGAGCTACTAGTCTTGTTGCTAGTAGCGATGCCCTTTGTTACTAGTAGCGTTCTGAGAGCACGGATCAACAGTTGGGAGAAGCCCTTCAGGGTTTCTTGCATCATTCATGACTTTCTGTTGGAGCCTGTCGAGCCAAGGCTTGCATCAGCCGGGCGAACCAGTTCAGTAGACTCCTTGCACCAGGCAGGAGGGAGGTCTTTCCGATGTATATAAAACCAAGGAAACGTCAAAGTCTCAGCTTAAACAGATCAAAAGCAATGGTTGGATCACTGTATTTACTTCATGTTACTTCCATTGGGTGACCATGACCCGTTTGCACACAGTTTGGAGTGATGTTTGTTTTTTTTGCGTGTCATTCTGGAAATTGATTGATTTGGTTTATCAACGACCCTCCAAGAAACGAGCACTTTGTGTAGCAACCAGGCTATGCAAATCGCTGGTGTTGAAGCCACACCAGTGCTGCATGACGCCATCATGAGAGGCCAGGATCAGCATGACTTCTTCAACGGTGTTTGTAAGACAGAATTGACCTAACCTGCGAATGTACAGAATTGGCACAACACTGGTCCCTACCACTCACTGGTCGAACGGCACTCAAATGGTCACGCATGGTGCAACGGCCAGAGGAGTCCAAGAGTTTCTTTTTGACGGTCGTGGCCAGTGCCTGGGCCAGCGGCCATGTGAATGCCCACGTGCCAGGCTACCTTTCAGCGAAGAGGCCAAGAGAAGCCTCCAGGCCTGCGCAAAGAGCCAAGGGTAGACTGTAGACTGGTGGAGTTGAAGTCTTGACCCCTTTTTTTACAGTTCAGCATGACCAGCGACAGAAGCTTTATGGTTTGGTCACATTTGTATCATCAAAGATTTACAACCGGCAGACACCTTGTAGCACTGTTTTGGCGACTCAGGTGGCTACAAGAGGCTGATCAGCGCTGAACCAAGGAGAAACGCCGCTCATGATCCTCGAGGTTCAACCGGTCTTAAGAAGATGGTGCTACAAGGCGGGTCAACTTATTCCTGTTTCACTCGACACAGTTAAGAACTTGCACCTCTTTGGTCTAAAATCCAAAAGGACCAACGAAGCATGCCTGGCATGTTGTCACCATTTACCGAGTTGATAGGCAAAATCAATCCACGGACAAACAACACTTCTTCCAACCTAGGCTGGTTTCAGAAGTCTCAGCCCCCACTTGAGGTCAGGCCTGGTCTTGAACGCAAAGATCATTTGCTGCGCTCGCATCTCAGCCATTCAATTGATGTCCATCAACTTGCCAGGTGCCTCCGGAGGTATTGTTAAGCTTACAAGCTTGCAGTCCAGGTCCAACTTTGATTCGATATCAGCACAACCAATTTGCCAAACAAAATCAGTGTAGGATGTGTGTGTGTGTGTATGTAAAAAAATTGGAATCATAGGGCTTCCTTTGAAGTTGTTCTGACCTTTTTTGGAAGGGCCACCGGGGTCCCAGAAGAGCGGTGGCCAACAAAGACCTCCTTTGGGACCCGTGTAAACTTTGTGAGGGCATCTCACCTTGTTTTGACGGCCTCCAACCTAAATGCCATGCCTCCACCCTACTCTTGGTTGGCCTTCTACCTGGATGCGACGACCTACTTGGCCTTCTACCTGGATGTGACGACCTACTTGCGCTGACCTCCAACTTAAGTGCGACGGCCTCCAACCTAATGACCTAATACATGACCTGTCTTCTTAGGCACTTGGTCACTTAGGTTGCCGTGTGGCATGTGGCATTCAATTTCCGTATGCAATATCTCGAGTCTGGCTTCACGCCAGCCCACATTGTACCCAAGGAGTGTCCCCTTTAACCTCCCCTGCCCGGATACAGAGCAGTCCGCAGCGGACGAAGCAGGCTTGTGCCAAAGTCGTTTGCCAAGACTTTACGAATTATTGAATACAAATAGGCAGCCCTCGGCAAGCCATGAGGTGACCACAGCGGTCAGAGCAGCCAGCCATTTTGGCACGGCGTACGTGGCCACAGCGGCCGAAGCTGGTCAAGGTTCGTTGGAACCTGTCGGGGCCTTAATCCCCTGTCCTCCCCTTTCCCTCTCCCCTCTTCCTTCTTTGCTTTTTGGGATGTTCCTGGATTCAACACTCAGGTACACCCCTTTTCCTGGTGTGTCCCTGGACGCTTGTTTCGTAGCTGGGAACGGGGAACGCCTGAACGGGGAACACCTGTCCTCCTTCCCCTTCTTCCCTCCTCTTTCTCTGTCTCTTTCTCTTTATATATATATATTTTTCTCTCTCTCTCTCTCTCTTTAATCTTTCTCTTCTTTTCCCTCCCCTTTCTTTCTTGCTTGTGTGTCCCTGGATGCTTCCGTCATAGCTGCGAACACCATCGTTTCTTTTCCTTTTCTTTCCTCTTTCCTTTCTTCTTTTCCCCTCCCCTCCTTCTCCGTGCGCAGCGTGCATTACAATCATTACAAACAAGCTAGGCATTTGGCTTAATGAAGTTTGGCTTCTCACCTGTTTGTCCCCTTTGGTTTCCTCGTCATTGGCCCCCACAGGCTACTTTTCCTTCTTTCATGTCCTTTCTGTCTTCATGTCCCGTCATCCTCACCCTTTTCTTCTCTTGCGCGCACATCGGTCCGGCCCTTAGTGTGTATACGTGCGCCCGTACATTTCAAATAGGTGTTAGGTAAGTTAGGCGGCCCAGGTTTTCGACAAGGAGGTGTGGCTCGTCGGTTGCGCCTGTGCACTTGGTTTCCCCTCCATCGCAATCACATACCTCGGTCTTGTCTTGTCTTCTTCTCATGTCTTCATTTTTTGTCCCTCTTGCGCGCACATAGGCACAATCGTTTCCTACCTTCCTTCCTTCCTTCTGCCTTCCTGCCTTCCGTCCAGGCAGACGCCTTTGCCGCTGACCGCTTATCCTTAATTGTGTGAAATTGTTAGCTTTTCATGAGTTTAGATCCTCACTGTCCAGCTCGGGCCTCAGCCAAAATTGGCTATGTGGAGGCGTGTGTGTAAATCCCTTGGAATCATAGGGCGTCCTGTGAAGTTGTTCTGACCTTTTTTTGCAGGGGGCCACTGGGGTCCGTGTAAACGTACCTGCATCTTTTTTAATTGTAACGGCGGTTCACTTGTGCGTGTCTTGCAGTTACACGTTTTTGCTGGAACCACCCCTACGCTGAAACCATTGTGTTCTCTACTTGCTACCACCCTACTAGCGATGGCCTCCAACCCCTTGTGAGGGCCTCTCACCTTGTTTTGACGGCCTCCAACCTAAATGCGATGCCTCCACCCTACTCTTGGTTGGCCTTCTACCTGGATGCGACGACCTACTTGGCCTTCTACCTGGATGTGACGACCTACTTGCGCTGACCTCCAACTTAAGTGCGACGGCCTCCAACCTAACACATGACCTGTTTTCCTAGGCACTTGGTCACTTAGGTTGCCGTGTGGCATGTGGCATTCAATTTCCGTACGCAATAACGCAATATCTCGAGTGTGTGACATCAGGCAAGCTGGGTACTCGTACTAACACTCTAGTATCCGGTTTGTATTTGGTGTGGCAAACGAAAAGGTTACATTTCTGAGTTTTTCAAAAAACCTGCATGCCGATGATTGCCGATGTATGATCAGCAGTTGCATTGAAAATGATTCGGAGTCCTGAATTGTTTATATATAGATATAGTATTTGTTTTATTTTCTGTTGATAACGCCTGAGCAACACTGCTGAGGCCATGGAGGTTTGCCTACACAATCGGCAAGCTGACGAGGCGTCACTGCTGCAAGTGCAACATGCTGAAAGTTGTTCTTGACCAAAGAAAACAGAAGAGAAAAAAAAACAGAACAATTGTAAACTAGGGGCTATGGAGATTACGTAGACTTACCCATGCATCCTGTGCAATTTGTTACACGTTTTTGAGCGCAAGTCACACTGTGACCACGCCTTGAAGCCACAACACTTCTTCAAATCAGGTTCTGTCCGATTTGACCGCTGCACGGCAGGCCCTCCGGTGGCTTCAGCGTGGAGAGGAGTCGAGTCCGCTTGAACGCCTTTGCATTAGTTGAAGAAGGCAAGTTTTTGTCGGGTGTGAAATATTCGAAAACCAACCAACTTCTCCTATTACTTTCGACCTCGTAGTGTTCCTGCTGGAAATAAATTTGTTTCACTAGGCAGCTCGCCCGACTCGCACAACATGTCGCTCATCAGAATGCAGGAGGCTGGCGTCGAAGTACCCACAGCAGGCAAGACCGCAATCTGTGGTGGTGTATTGAGCGGCGAGGGCTGTTTGATGTTGCTTGTATTTGTTTGTCATGAAGTAACAGAACACTACTGTACAGGGTGTGTTATTAAACTGAAGCTATATGCATTCGAAGCATAAAAGATCGTCGTCGGTATGTATATATATATGTGTATATAAATACATATACATAGAATTGAATTGGTTACAGTACCGTGTTCATCACATTGCTCCGCTCAAATGTCTCCAGGTGTGGGAGGAGTGCTCTTCCATGTCACTGCCGTTGAGGCTTGCGCCAAGGTGGGGTCTGTAGCACCATGTTCAGGATGTCAACAGAGGGTTGAGCGTCACTACGGAACGGGTGATTACGAATGGCAATGGAAGAGTTTTGTGAGCCCCGACAGTTATGGGGCAAAAAGCAAAACGACTTGATAATAAGTACAGTAATAACATAGAAAGCAAACAAAGACGGAAGATGGCAAAAGATATTCCAAACCTTTATATAATGTCACACCGTCACACCCTGCCTGCTGGCGATGGTTTAATCACCAGTGGTCTCCCATCGCATCAGTGGTGAAGCATCGTCTTCAGCTATGGAGAACGTTGAGTGGCATGGTCTTGCAGCAGCTGAGGTGCAGTGGCCGATACCAAGTTGTGTTGCGAAGTCCGACAAGGCCAACCGTGCAGACCAAGGCAACTCCACACCAGCGAACGAATACATGGACAATCCGGCAGTTCTTGATGAAAAGGTCAGCATGCTAGCTGAGATGTTGCTGAAGAGTCGATCAACCTGCGCTTACACAGGAGCTGGATTGTCGAAAGCTTCAGGCATTCCCGATTATGCGACAAAAGCTGCCAAGTCCGTGGTTGCTGGACCCAAGATTAGAAGCGGCTTGGATGCCCTACCAACTTATGCTCATCAATGCCTTGTTCTCTTGCATCAGCACGGGATGCTTCACAACTGGGTGCAGCAAAATCATGACGGACTCCCACAAAAGGCCGGCTTCCCACAGGAGCACGTCAACGAAATTCATGGTGCTTGGTTTGATCCAAGCAATCCTGTGGTGCAATTTGATGGCAGCTTGCGTCATGACCTCTTTGAATGGATGCTTGAGCAAGAAAAGCAAACTGACCTGTGCCTTTGCTTGGGCACTTCCTTGAGTGGCATGAATGCAGATCGTATCGTGGCAACGCCTGCCAAGAAGGCAAAACATGGCCGTGCTTTGGGTTCCGTGATTATCAACCTTCAGAAGACACCACTTGATGCAAATCATCGCTGAGAATTTGGGGAAAACTGGATGATGTGTTCAAGCTCTTGCTGGAGAAGCTTGCCGTGACTATGCCACCAGGAGGCTTGGAAGCGAAGCCATTGCCTCCAAGTGATATTTTCGTTGTGCCATACAACCGAAGTGGGGAGCAAGACTCTAGCGCCGCGATGACTCTTAACCTTTCCCTAGGGGCAGACATTACAGTTCCAATCAAGCATGCTGTAAATTATCAGAAGAAAGGTAAGGTGGTGGGCAAAGGTCGGGATGGGAACTACCTGGTCGATATTGACGGACTTCGCTATGCCCTCGGCACGTGGATGATTGATGCAGCCTTGCGTGGGGCCTTGCCATTGCTTCCAGTGATGAATGCTGAGCCGGTGGTCAAAACGGGGCCCAAAGCGCCGCCTCCAGCTCCTGTGGAACTGGTGGAAGCACCAAGACCACCCCCAGCGCCGAAGCCAGAGACCGAATTCCCAAATTTCATTGAAGTGATCCAGAGCCACAAGGTGGTGAACGATCCCTCTGGCAACCAGCATGCATGGAGTTTGAGGTTGATGGATGGTGCAGAACAATTTGTCCAAGAAGTCTTATGGAAGCTTCATCCGACCTTTCAAGATCCGAATGTGAAGGTGCAAGAACCTCCCTTTAAGATAGACCGCATCGGCTGGGGCACTTTTCAAGTCGGTGTCCAGATCAAGTTAAAACCGCGTGTGCTTGATGGAAAGACACTCACTTCCTCCCACCACTTGAACTTTGAATGTGATGGAAATCGGGCAGCTGTAACTAAGATCAGCGTATGATCCCGATGTGCAAAACAGGCACTGCTACTTTTGATACTTCATTCGTATTCAGAATTTGTGGTTTTGAAAATGTACAGGAACAATGTGGGACTGCTGCTCCCTGAGGGAGAATTCTGAGCTTGTGACAGCATGTACAGTTGCTGACTCTGACTATATACTGGTAGGTGAAGAAAGGCATCCAGGACGTCTTCGCAGGTTGAAATTGAACAGCAACCAAAGCTCCACATGGCCAGTTTAGCTGCACAAGATACTCCCTGCATAGGGCAATCTCCATGAATCTCCCCTGATCAGCGCCGTTTTCCACATGACCGGTCGGCCAGGCGGGCGATGTGGATCGTGGCCTGGATTGGCTTCAGAGAGCCGAGACCGCGGGGCTGTGCCTGGACTATGAAAGGCTATATTAAAGGCATTAAATAATTAGGGAATAGCATCCTTGTTCCTAGTAGCGATGCCAGGAGCCCCGAACGTAGCGTCCTTGCTCCTAATGATCATGTGTGGACTTGGTTCGGAGGTTCCTTAGAGGTCTGTGAACTCTTAAAGTTGAAGGTGGTTCGTGGTCGTCTTTTGAGGACTTCATAGGCAACTTGGTGCGAACCCATGTGAGGAACTCCGAGCAGAAGCTTCTGAAGGAGGCCAAGCAAAACCAGTCAGTCCTGTCAAGGCTTTGAACAGGCAAACGTAGGCAGCAGCTTGAAGACAACTTGATCAACCTTTAGCCTTGCAGTTTCGTCTTAGTGTCACAAGGGTAGGATGAGCACTGCCAAGGAGACCCGCAGTGCAGCACCCAGGGATTGGCGAACTTGTGGTGCTACTTCCCTTTCTGTCATGTTGTTCATGCAAAGAAATACGACAGCAGCTCTTCAGCTCTTCTTGCTGCTTGCACTAAAGCATCGATGTTGTTCATGGTATGTGTCTATGTGCGGCTTGACGTGGGAGTCGAGACTTCACGTGCGTATTGCCGGGTGTTTGATGGCCTTAGCACTAGCGCTTGGTGTTTGGTGCTGTGGCTTGTTCAACTGAGATCAAAGCTAAATCTGTAGTAACTTTAAGTTACTTCTTGTCAACTAGCTTGATGCCTTGAGGTGTACCTTTGCGCCCAGCCTACCTTAACCTGATGAAGGCACAAGTGGATGGTTAGAGAATTTGTGCTCAAACGGCGAAGAGATCCCAATTGGATAATTTGTCGCGTGCAAAGCTCAGCTGATTTCCGAGATCTCAATTCTTCAAATCTCCAAACGTCGCCATTTTTTAGGCAACAAGAGGAGGCCATCGCTAGTAGGTTGGATGCCATCGCTCTTAGGTTGGAGGCCATCACTAGTATGGAGGAGGCAATCGCTTTCAGCAAAAGACTGGAGGCCTTCCTTGGGCGGCAGATGGATGTTGTCTTCGGCGTGCTCAAATCCTTGGAGGTGCGCACTGGCCGAGGGTGGTCAACAGGGTAGTTTTTGCAGCAGCTGGTTGGTTCAATTGTTTGGTTGGTTCCCCACTTCAAATTGTTGTTATGTATATGATATATGTACCGGTGTATTTGGCCAACAAGCACGTTCATGTCTTTGGCAACTTGACACCTCGTGCCTCAAAGCATCCAAACATATCCAAACCAAACATGCGTAATTTAATGAGTTGTCCACATGCCCATAAAACAGATGTCAATCAGCCAAGAAGGAAAAAGAAAACCACAAACCATCCTCATACAGTATCCCCTTGGGCCAATCTGTGTTTAGCAGTGGCTAGTCTGGGAGCGAAGGCCTGCAGTATTGCTTTTGTCTTGCAGGGCTACTAGTGCCGATCAAGACTTGAAGCTGATAGTCGAAACAGAAGTTCACCTTAGACAATGCTACTAGGAGCAACGGGCATCGCTACTAGGAGCAAGGACGCTTTTAGGGGCTCCTGGCATCGCTACTAGGAGCAAATAGCTACTAGGAACTTCTATCCATTATGAAACGATGCTGAATCGTCGGACCTTTGCTCCGAGGATGTCGAAGGGCAAATGGACTTGATGGCTCGGGTTGAGCTGCTTCAGCTGTTAGCAAGCCAGGGTCCCCAGGGTGCCACGTTTGGATGATGTGGCCTTCTGCCGTATGCGGCCTATTTTGGACCGTAGATCAGTTTCCATGAGAGGTGTAAGAAAGACAGAGAGAGAGAGAGAGGGAGGGAGGGAGGGAGGGAGAGAGAGAGAGGGAGGAGTTGGCATGTCTTGGCCGCTCTCCACAGAATGCAAGAAGGGCAGTTCAGATCCATGATTACATTGAATTGAAAGTGTGAGGTGCCAATCATTGCACACAAAGGGTATGAAGTCACCAGAAATCAGGACAGAATGTCGGAGTTGGCAAATAACCAATAAGATCCACCAAGAAGCTGGAATCTGGATAATGTCAAATTGATGTGAAACCAAATTGGTGCCAAATCAAGTTTTGAGTGCTTGGCTGCGTTCCCAGGTAGAGGAAGACGAGAGGACCGTCCAATTGCATCAGGCTAAAGTTCTCAAGATTATGTATACTCCTGTACTTGGAGGCAAGAGCTACTCGTAACACGAACAAACGAAGACTGAATTTCGTTTGGTGGTTCCCCAACCACAAGTCAATTTGAGTGCTCTGTTTCCTACTTCAAAGATAGGCCACGTCAAGCTGAGTCGAGGGAACCCTTTGACGAATCACTCCGAATCACGTCAGTTTGGGGAAAAGAGGACGCCTTGAAGATGTTGGAGAGAGTGAAGAAGGAAAGGGCTGAGAAGGAATTGCTCCTGGTCTACAGCCGCGCCATATCTGCTTGCACCAAGGTGGTTTTGCAGACATGAGGGACTGAGGAGGGGGCAAAACTAAACAAGAGAGGTACGGAAAGTCAGGAGTATTGTGGATACCAAGTTGGAGCTGGGTCCACCACCGGGTTTAAGATAGCCAAAGGAACCTGTTGCCCGTTGTCATGGTATTTCCATGTCACAAATAGATTTAGATCGTGTTCCATGACTTTGCGAAAGCATTGTGGGAGGCTGCGAATGTGGATGAAGCCATTTTCTGGTTCGATGTCACTTGACTCATTAACAAACGATTGGCAGCAAAAGAATGCAACCACCAGTCTCTCAATGCCGTTGCCAATGAAATATGGTGCATCGGTGGCCTTTGGTCCAAATCTCAGCCAAGGAAATGCGCAGGTCGGGTGTGCAGCCCGACAAAGTGGCATGGAACAGTTGCTTGTTTGCAGAAAAATCTAAAAAGGACAGGGAAAGCAAGTGTGTGTGTGTGTTCTTTGTTGGTTGAATCGAACTGAACCTGTTTGAATAGAGCCGAGGCATCATCAATGCCTGTGCCAGGATGAGTGGGAGAGTGGACGATTGCATTTGGATTGTTGTAGGAAGAATACATGCTTTCTTTGCGTACTTTCTCGTACTTCCATCACCCACGACCTACTTAGAGAGTTTTAGCATTAAAGTGTGCTTTGGAGATCAAAGGGATCATTGAGCAGGAATGGCCGCCCAGCAGAAGCTGAGATGTGGCTGGGCGGGGGTCCAAGCGTATTGAGTTGTCGGGCCCAAGGCTGTTGCTGAGAGGAAACGTCAGCGTCCTTCGGTATGGAAACGGCCGGGGGAGGCACCAGCGTCCTTGCGTGTGCCTTGTCGTTCTGTGCTGGATGATTTCCAGGGCTCTGAAGTCGTGCTGCACCGAACTGCCAAACTGCCAGACCCTAACAACATACACAATAATTTTAATACCGTAAGCAATAACGTATAATGCCTGAAAAAGTACAAGTACTAAGTGTATAGATGGCACAATAGCTGCAGGTGAGATGGAGGCATCCGAAATGCAGCCAGATGTGGTCTCCTACAATACTGTGATCAATGTTTGCGCTCACAATGATCGGCCTGAAGAGGCGCGTGTCCGAGCGGCCAGTTGGGTGGGTGAAGCTGCCTGAACAACGCATCCATACCAGCCGTTGGAGCTGGTTCTTCAATGTATGGAATATGTCAAAGGTTTTGTCTCAGCAACAGAGGCTTTAGGAGCTGGCATGCTGAGACGGTGAGGTCAAATGCAACAACCGGTAACCGGTGCACAAAAGCAGCACCTTGAGTGTTGAGGGTAGAGTAGCCAGAAGCAAGTGCTGCATGTGATGTTCCGGTGGTTTTCGACATTTGCAACATGGCTCAGCTTGGCACATCATCCTTCGATGATGGCCGATCAAGGTAGTCATGAAGGTAGTGCGTCATGCTGATGGGGCGAGTCCCCTGGGAAGCTGCCATCAGTAGCCTCGATCACGCATCCACCCGGGCCTACAACATAGCGATCGACGCATGCGGGAAAGGTGGACAATGGCAACTAGCTTTATTGCTTTTCGATGAGTTGAAGCGCATTGGATTGGAGGCCGACACTGTGACCTTCAACTCAGCCATTTCTGCATGCAGGGGCCATCCTGGTACATGGTTTTTGGCTTTGAGCATCCTTGATGAAGCCAACGAGTGGGGCTTTGCAGATCTTGTCAGCTTTAGCACGGCCATCAGTGCTTCTGAGCAAAGTGACAACTGGCAGATTGCTTTGGCCTTGTTGTGTAAGGTGAAGGAGTTGAAATTGCAACTCAACACGATAACGTACAATTCTGCCATCAATGTGTTGGGCAAAATGCACGAGTGGCAAGGCGCTTTGTTGTTGCTCAGCGAGGTGTCTCGGCAGTTGCCTTGCACGCTCGTGTCTTATAATAGTGCGATCACGGCATGTGCTCGAGCATCTCAGTGGCATCGTGCCATTCTTCTCCTCCAATCCTTTCAATCAGAGACTTCCGCAGATATCATCTCATACAACGCGGCCATCCATTCCTGCGAAGAGCCTGGGATGTGGGAAGTTGCTTTGGACTTGTGGGAACAGCTTGGAGACATGTCTCTCCAAAAGAACGCAGTTACATTTGGATCCATGATCAGCACCTGTGCAAAGGCCTCCCAATGGGAGCTTGCCCTAGATGTTTTAGAGCGTCAATCATCTAGAGGAGCTTCTAGCTTGATCAGTTGCAATGCTGCCCTCACAGCGCTTGAGAGGAGTCAGCAATGGTCGTTGGCACTGCAGCTTCTTGTGGATTTCCCGTTGACACCTGACATCATTTCGTTTAACTCAGCCATTAGTGCCTGCGGAAAAGCCGGCCAGACCATGTTTTTCAGACGCTTGCTCTTCAGGCTGCGGCGGCTCTCTTTGCAAGAGAACCTGGTGACCTACAACGCCATCATCAATGGATTTGCAGTTTCTTCCCGCTGGCAAGAAGCCCTTGATGCTTTGCAGACCACAAGTAGAGCGCTTGAGACTGACCTTGTAAGCTTTCATTCCGCCAGCGCTGCTTGTGTGGCTTCTTCAGCATGGCAACGAGCACTGCGACTAATGGAGATGGCTAAAGATGTCCGGCTACGCTTGGACCGTGTCTCTTACACACTGGCGATCAACGCCTACGAAAAGGCAAATCAATGGCAGGAAGCTGTGCATTTGCTCCGGAGCTTTCAGAAAGCAGCAGACATCATGTTCTACAATGCTGCGATAAATGCATGTGCAGACCAGTGGCAGCAGGGTGTTCTTGTTTTGAGCCAATTGAATGAAGACCAGATCCGGGCAAACGCAGTCACGTACGGTGCTCTTCTCAGTGCATGCAGGAATGGAAGGGCATGGATACCCGCCTTGCGCCTTTTGTCCGAACTATTCCAGTTGAAGCTGGAAACAAACTCAGTTGTTTTCAATGCGACAATCAATGCCTGTGGGAGGGCAGAGCAGTGGACGCATGCCCTGGAAGTCATGAGCATCATGGAGCAGGCACAGTTATGCACAGCCTGTGTGTTCAATGCTGAAACCCAGTCATCCAGCTACAATCTGCCGAAATGTTTCATTTGTTGTTGAGGAGTACACACTTACGGTATCTCACGGTCGACCATCGTTTTAACATCTTTAACAGTCCCTGTCAAATGAACCTTCGAGCTGTAGACCAACTAGAAGAATCCCATCCAGGACAAATCTATGCACATGTTACCACAGTGTTGTCATGTACTGTACAGGAGCAGATCCAACCAGATTTGATCACCTATGACACAATCATTGCAGCTACTGCCAGCTGTGCTTGTAGAGAAGAGGCCGCTGATTCTTTGATCCCCACGCGAATTTCCTCGATAGTCTTGTTATGATTTGTTGAACGGATCTTCTCCGATATCAGCAGTTTTTGTACTGCAGTTTTGAGGTGATTCTTCGCTGGCGGCCTTAAGAGTTCGGTTTGGAGTCCATCTTGGTTCTATTTCAGTCATGCAAGACAGACATAAACAAGCCCCCATGGTTTGTTCTCAGTTTGTTTGATGTACTAACAAACAACATAGATACGGCCACACTAACATAACACATGGATTTGTTTGCTTGATGTTAGATTTCGCCGGTGTATGAAAAGAGCAGACTAGAATGAATGCCTGAACCTTCCAGCTAGATTTGACCTTGGTGTTCACATATTGATGTTCCGACCTAGTTCGCATTTAGACTTCTTAGAGGTGTGTTAGAGCCTGTTGGTGATTGAACATTTGTCCCGAGAGGCCCTGTTGCTTTTGAGTCAATCTCAGTCACTGCGAACGCCTCTGGAAGCGCTCTGGGTCTTGGCGACGGTGGGTTCCAATGATGTGGAGGTGGCCCGGTGCTGGAAATCTATGATCCAACCATTTAGACGCTTAATGATGTCATTATATAGATGTCACATGATGTCACTGTTCGTGTTATTGTCAGCAAGCACGCACGGCCTATCGCTGGCAAGTTTAGCCGGACTTCTTTAGTGGGATGTTGCGGCATACGTTGCTCAATGTGTTTTTGCAAAGCAAACTCGCACACGCTCTCTACTGTAGCCATTTGTTGGCAGTGTGATATTGTTTGTGCGGGGGTTTGACCGAGGAATAAATACCATAGCACCTCGCAGGATAACAACCTATGGATAGTCGAAGCCAGCAACTCTAAACATTGGCTTCCAAGTGCAGCACAACCCTATTGCCTATTGCCGCCTATTGCCCTTTGTATCCCTTTGTCATCCTCCTTCATTTAACAACAAATGGAAGAGTGGACATGAGTGGACTACAATGTGTGCCCGGTGCTGTGATGCAAGAGCCATAGAGCCATGGTAGCCTGCTGTCGCCTGAATCAAATTCCAAATGGGTTGTTCAAGCTCACAAACGATCATCATCCAGGAGGCTGCCCCTGCAAAGAGTCAAGCGGAACAATTAGATCCTGTCCCAGAAGTTGTTCAGGCGCAAATTGCCGTCGTGCCGGAGGTACATGCTGAAAGAAGTGAGGCTGATATTCCAGAAGCTTTGCCTGGTTTGGTAGAAGCAGAAAAGATCAGTGTGAAGAGCGGCGATCAAAATATCAGCAATGACTATGATGGTCCTGAGGGTGTTGAGTGGACGAAGGTCGGCTCGAGCATGACTTGGGCAGCATCAGAAGACTACGCCTCTATCCGAAAGGGTCGTCTTTTGACACTTGAAGAAGCACGACAGTTCTTGAAGAAGCGTGGTGATTTTGCTTTGTATCCTGGAGAGGATCAATGGGTAGCCTGTGTACGTGCTGATGGCGTACGAGATTGGGTTCAATTGGGGAACAAGATTCATCATTTGGGCAAGTCTCATGTGGATGAGTGTGGCGGATATCCACGTTGGGGAGATGATTCCTCTGGAAAACCTCCCTTCGCCTGTTCTGTCATGTGGCTGTCGAGTGGTGTGGTTCCTTCACCAAAACCACAGTGGAAGAAGCATGGTACAAGCTTCACTTGGGGAAGCTCCAAGGAAGGGCGTTACAGGTGCTGTGTTGGTCGCAATGTTATTGCTGAACTGTTGGACCTGTTGGAAGGTTTCTTTGTGAATTCCTGAAAGTTGTAATGGTAGTGGACGTTGAATTGACGCAGTATCACTTTATGAAAGAAAGGCGGACAAGCACCGGGAAAAGCAGCTGCAGAAGATGTACAGTACTTACCGGCACGAAAGACTAATAGATTATGATAGAATACCCAGCTTCGTGTTTTGACTTGATGTGACTTGAAAACCCCTGACAGGAGCATGCATCCAAGGCTGGTGGCCGTCTTCTAGACTTGAAGGACACCGTGTCAGAAGATGCTTTTGGGTTTGGGTAGGTTTGGTATAAGGCTTATAAGGAGTTCCACTGAAAGATTTGTAGTCAGTGTCAGATTGGTTCTATTCTTCAAGTTTTGTTGGATGTTTTAGGTCAGCTCAGAATGTTAAGGCTATCCAAGCATGTGACGGAAGCAGAGTCAAATCTATGGGCAAGTACTGAATGCACCAAATGCTTAGCCAATTTGGTGGTTGTGCGTGTGGTCTCCCCAAAATTGTTTTCTTTTGCACGGCGAAAACAAACTGATATATGATATATATAACATACCGACCCATCAGCTTTTCACTGCCTTTAAGCGAAGACCTTAACGTCTAAAACCATGGTAGTTATATAACATCCTGCGATGGTTCGCAGGATATGCATGCCATATGGTGCCAGAATGGTCATCCTTTTTTCCCTGAGAGTTGGAGGGCGCGCACCACAGGAGGCCCGCAGCTTCTTGGGAGATCATGGGCCCCTGTGGCCTGGAGAAGACCAATGGGTGGCAGTGACCCGTAGTGATGGCACCGCCTGGCGTGATTGGCTCCAAGTGGGGAACAAAATTCATCATTTGGGCAAGTCTCATGTGGATGAGTGTGGTGGATATCCTCATTGGGGGGATGATTCTTCTGGAAATCCACCTCACGCTCGCAGCGTCCTGTGGATTGAAGATTTGGATCCGGAGGACACCAAGAAAGGTCCGATTTGGCAGAAGCAAAGCTGTAGTTTGACCTGGGAAGCGTCCAAGCAAAACGCCGCAAGATTGGGTGGACGATTGCTCTTGCTGGAAGAGGCCGAAGATTTCCTGAAAAAATCTGGGGCTTTGTGTCCAGGAGGTGACCAATGGGCCGCGGTGGTGGCAAGCGATGGCTCGCGGGATTGGATTCAGGTGGGTGACAAGATTCATCGTGTTGGCAAATCTCATGTTAAAAGCTGTGGTGGATATCCTCGTTGGGGTGATGATGCGGCAGGCAATCCACCACATGCACGTTCACTCCTGTGGATCGCCGCTGGTTGGGTGCTGGGCGATTCAAAGTGGGTGAAACAGAGCTCGGCACTGTGGCGCAAAGAGACGGGCGAAGTTTGTGAGCCAATGTGGCTAAAGCCAGGTCCTAGCTTGACTTGGGAGGACTCACAGCAGTTTGCGGCCCAGCGCTGTGGCCAACTCTTGACTCTGCAGGAAGCCACATCATTCTTAGCATCGCATGGTCCACTCTTTGTGGGTGATGACCAGTGGGCTGCTGTTGTCCGTGAAGACGGCACAAGGGATTGGGTTCAAGTAGGTAACAAGCATCACCATGTTGGCAAATCTCATGTGGACGGCTGTGGTTCTTACCCTTCCTGGGGTGACGATGCATCAAAGAACCCGCCGCATGCTCATTCGGTGCTGTGGCTTGCAACAAGCAATGCATTTAGCAGCACCAACAATGTTGGCAAAGCCAACGAAGATTAGAAAAAGGAACTTGCTTGGTGACATTGGAGCCCGTCGATTTGTTTGACTTGGTTTCCACGTAGACCAAGATGACTCCCCAGAAAACAAGTGGAGGTGATTTGTGCATCCTTCAGAGAGACCTTGACTTTGGACCTCGAAGTAGCCAACGTGGTGCAGCTCCTTTGGTGTATGGCACGCCTGGGCATCAACCAGCAGAGACTCGAAAGGCACAGAAAAGTCGAAGAAGAAACTAGAGAGTTCTTTTGTGGTTTTAAATGTTTCAATGGCAGCATTCATTTTGCTGCTTTGGTCAAGGTGTTTCTTGGATGTAATCGCTGGCAGCTTCAGGTCCCTGTGCCAACGATTTCTGGAAAACCTGCAAAGTTGTTCCTTGGAGCAGCTGCTCCTGGTCGCCGTCGCGGTGGAGCGGAGGCCTGACATCACCACCTTCGATCGATTACAGCAAGCAGCGGAAGAAAGGTCCGAGGCTCTACAGTGCCTCGCCTTGAAATTGGCACATTCACAGTCAAGACCTCAAATGCCTGTGGCCACATCTCACACATACCATAGATGAACATCAGCATGAAAACCTACTTGTACCCTTGTACCCCCCAGCAGCTTTGCTCCAACTTCAATAATCATTATGACTTTCTCAAGATAGCTGTTGCATCACCATGTTTAAGTCAACAGGTTCAGTTTGACACGGCAACAAAACCCTCACTCCAAGTATATGTGTTCCCAAAGAAAGGCAATCACCATATTGTGTTAAGTTTCCCTAAAAATCTAGGAACAAAATCATCAGTGCGAGTCGAGCGCTTCTTCAAGGAAGCTCCATACTAGTAGCCTAAGTAGCCAGGAGCGAACTTCTCCCATACTTAATTAAGTAAGAAAGGTGGCATGGCCGCGGGCTTAAACACAATATATATATAACATTATACAACAAATCAATCTTCATTCCAAATCGGTTTGCATTCTGAGTCCGTCAGAGTCAAGACTCCAAGGCCAAAGGACATGGCCTTTCAGCTCAAGGGCATTTCCCTACTGGGGTTTGTGTCCTCCTGCCAGCGTGCTGGCCTCTTGCGTCAGCACTTGAAAGTATCGATCCACCGGAGTCTCCTTGACTTCGGACGCACCATGGATTCCATCGACGCGGAAGGACCCTCTCTTCCAGTGCAAGATGTGGAGGCGAAGTCTTGGGGCATTTGGCCACTTCTAGGCCACTTCAGCTTTGTAAGACCCACAACCTCTAAAAAATCAGCTTGCGTGTGCCTAGTGAGTATTCCCAGACACGATTTTCCCTTACAGTTGCTTTATTGAAAAACCTCGGAAAACTTGGAAGTGTGTTTTTTTTAACCGAGGTGGCAATAGCGATCCTCACTTGCGACATGTTGAAGTAGTCGTGATTGCCACTTGCAGGTTTTGGAGAAAACCAAGAACTTGCCTTGTTTCGCCGGTGACTATGGAGATCGCGTGGTCTTGTTCAAGCCAGGGGGCTGGGAGGCGCTTAGATTATTCATGTACTGCATGAGAGCATTCTGGTATGTTTAATCATTTGTTCGAGGGTGGTTAGACTTGGTCAGTAGCATAATTGATGGTTGGTAGTTTGACATAAGCAGCATTCCCACTTCTTGGGCATGGCAGCGAGATTTCAATGCTAGGTCTACGGTGCTCACCACCCACGCCAGCTGTCAGAGTTTCTGCGGTCGTATGGCACCTTGGCAACACTTCCACGGTAGTAATTACAACAAACCATAACAAACCCAAAACGTTTCAAAGCTCCCAGTGAGCCTCAAGTAACTCAACGGCAAACGGCAAACTCTTAAATTATGGGAAAGCTCAGTGAAGAATGGCTGAACTTCTTTGAGAATATAAATTATAAAGGTTTGACATGGGACATGGCTTCTCCGAATGGAAAAGCAAGGCGATCGGCCAATCCTCGCAGATGAGAATCACAACTTGGGTTTTTTGCATCGTTTGGATGTTCCCAGTTCAGGAGCCGTTTTTGCATCGTTAGGGAAATGTCAATCTTCACTTGATCTTGATGTCTTGAAGGGTGTGTAAACTCAGACTCTACAACAATATACAATGATTATATAGTGGTCTTCAATTGAATGTTTTGCGTACTCTAAGCTTGGTTTGCGCTTGGGCTCGGAATAGAGGGCACGATGCCATTCATTATGTGACTCAGAGCATTCATGCCGCACCAGAAGCTCCACGGAAGGACTAATAATGTTTGCGAAGACCTATGAAGCTTTCTATGATCTTCAAGTGCAATTGCATGTGGGAGAGTTTCTTCGTGACTACATGGTTTTGGCTCATGGCTTGCTACCAATATCCTCAAGGCAGATCCAAGCACACTTGCTCAGCAGCAAAGGTCCCAGTATTCCCGGCGGTCGTGGGAAATGGAGCTGTACGAATCTGGAGTGCTTGGGCCATGCTCAACAGAAAGCGCGGACGTTCTCAGAGCTGCTGTTGCGCATAGCTTCTGAGCTGCAGCTGGGGGATCCATAGCCGAGATTTGTTGAGCCTTCAGGAGAAGCAGGAACTAATGTAGCTGGAAAACATACCTGCTGCAAGAACGTTGGGTGGGAGACATTGACATGCACTGCTCAGAAGGATTATAATTATGAGAACATATGCCAAACAACCCCAAGCCTTGCTAGGTGTTCATGGCTCCATCTCTCTCTCTCTCTCTAAATATATATATATATGTATATAGAGCAACTGCAAAAACCTCCGATGAAGGCAGCATCACTACAGTGAAGACTAAGTAAGTAAAGTGAAGGAAACCTTCAGGAACGATAAGGTTTTCAGAAAAAAAAAACACATGATAAGTTGTTTCAATACATGTTGTTAGGTGTGTCCAAACCCTCAGGAACGACAAGGTTCACAGAAAAACGATAACGTTGGGAAGAGCGCGCACTACAACACATACTGTAAGAGGTGTTGCACGTCGCTCATATGCACATATATATATAACTATATATGCATATATATAGAGCTCTCAATTGAGGTTACTGGGAGGAAGCATCAAATCCGAAGCGTTTTGTCCTATGTTGGTCATCCAAGCGTGCGGGATGGGTTGTACACGAACGAGGAGACCTTCCTGGAAGATGGGCAAGAGCTTGGTTGCTCTCAGAATTGGTTGCACAGACACCGACTTATTTTCCTTGATCGAGTAGGAGGTAGGCATGACTTGCAGTCTCCTTTACCTTGGGAACTTCAACAGAGCCTGCAGCGTTTGCAGTTCCTTTGGAGAAAAGCAGGATGCGGCGGAGGCATTACTGTAGAGTTTATTTGACGCTTTGCTAACTCGGTTAATCTAGACTCCATGATGCATGGCAACTTTCGTTTTGCCAGCTGCTCTCAGCTAGCAACCGTTTTGGAATACGGTGGCCATTTTAGAATCGCCGCGCATGGCGAGCGACACCCTGGCTCAAGGAGGCTCTAGGAAGGAGTTGGAAGGTCCCGCGAAAGTCCACAGCTACGGGTGGCACCCTGAAGTTCTATTCCTTGGGCGACGGAGCTTGGTCCCCCAGGCGCTCAGAATGGAGTGGCGGAAGTGTCGGAGGCTGAATGTCCGAGCTCCAAGAAATCGGCACCGCGCCTCGAGATTTGCGAGACCTGAAAGATGTGATTGAGTACAACCAAGCTATCTCAAATACCGTTAAACAAGGGCCAGCTCAATGGAGAGTCGCTTCACATTTGTTCAGCAATTTGATCCATGGAGCCTTGCAAGCATCCTTGGTCACGTACAATGCGGCCATCCATGCTTGTGGGAAGTGGCCCATGGCCTTGGCATTGCTAGAGGATCTGGAAAAACATGAGATGCAGGGCAATCACATTACATATGGGGCAGCCATGAGTTCTTGTGAGAAGTCCGGAGAATGGACCGTTGCGCTGGTATTGCTTCAAGCGATGAAGAACGTAGACCTGCAGCCCAACACAATTGTATTCAACTCAACACTCAGCGCATGCGCAAAAGGTGGCTTGATTCAGTTGAAGCTGTTTTGTGTAGGATGGGGCGGTTGCCCATTTGATGTGTCGCTTTGAAATGGTGCAGAAATGGCAAAGCAACAGCCTGAGACAAAGTTGGGAGTACAACAATTATGACCGACTGATTTTCAAGTTGTTTTCAGTTTGGACAGAAGGAATGCTTGGAAAGTATCATATATTATTTAGACACGTCCAAACCAAAGAGCTTTGGGGACAGGTGAAGAATGGGAGGTGTCACTTTGCCTTCTGGAAGCACTTCGATTCGAAAGTTTGCAGTGCTCACTGGTCACATACAATGCCGCGATCAGTTCCACTGCAGCAACGTCATGCTGGTCAAAGAAAGGTCTTGCAGTTTTCAGCTGACAATTGTAACTTGATGTACGCAACCGTAGCTTGTTACGTAATGTTACGTAGCCTGACGGGAAATTCGAAATTGAGAGCTCGCGAGCCCTGTACTTTTCACCACCTCGGCTTTTCAACTAGAGGTGCTAGCGCCAAAGGCAGCCAGTGGCAGCTAGCTTTGGCCTTCCTATCACAAGTTGGTGGCAGCCGCATCGAGCCTGACATCATTACCTACAACTCCACCATGGCAGCATGCGACGCGGCGGGGCGGTGCCTTGGTGGATGTCGGCCATTTGAGTTTTGAGCTTGTCAGATGGTTGAACGCGGATCTTGGAACTGACGTAAGAATGATCTTTTAATGCAACTCGCAATGAACTTTGCGATGTTTACAGGTGTGTTGGCTAGTGGTTGAGGTCGTATTTGGCTATTTGCCTCCTGCAGCAGATCCAAGCACGAAAAGTGCAGGCAACAATCATTACATACAACACGGCTATCAGTGCCTGTGCCAAGAATGGCTGGTGGCAAGAAGCCCTTGAGCTGCTGTGGGCGATCAATTCGCAAGATTTGCAAGGCAATGTGGTCACATTCACAAGCGCCATCAGCGCCTGCCACTCGAATGATTTGGATGACTGATGACTGATGATGATCATGAATCATGATCATGATCATGATGGTGGTGGTGGTGGTTCCTTTGCTGACGGGTGACGGTTGTTCACATTCTTCAAACCAAACCTCGGCGTATGTGTTTTGGCATCGAATTGTGGTGTTTTCAATGGTTTGAGTTGTTTGTTGGTCATTCCTCTATTTTCCTTTGGTGTATTTGTCGAGCAAAACGAAACAGTGAAGTGGGCACTGTAATTAAGCGTGGTGTTAGATTGCAGGTGAGTGCATGTGTTTTTTACCTTTCTTGATTCGTGTATATATAACTATCACGAAAGCCAGCCGATAGGCTAGGCTGGAGTTGGGTTGGGCCGGGCGAACGAAGTGAGTATAGGGGGTCTGGGGTGGTTTGGTCGCACAGCGCCAAATTTCGGAGGGCGAATCCAGAGCCTGGCTATGTGCGTGTTTGGTGGCCATTGAAAGTGTTCGACCAGTGCTGGGAGGGAGGTGTGTGTCCCTTAAGACACTGTGTGATCTGTGAGGGCAGGAGAGGGAACAGAATGCTGTGGGGAAGGTGGAAGACAGGCATAGCGGAGGAGGATGTGGTAGGAAAAGAGGGCTTGCAAGAAATCTTGGAGTTGCTTGGGAGTGCTCTTTTTTAATGGTGAAGACGCCTGTCAACCAGCCATACGCAAAAGGGCACCCCATATTGGGTGGGAGTTCATGCGGAAGACATGCGTAGTGGAGGAGGACGTGGTTGGCAAAGACTGATTGCAAGAAATCCTTGAAATTCTTGGGGGTGCCTGGTTTTATGATGAAGACCCCCCCTAACCATACGCAAATGGGCACCCCATATGGAGTGGGAGCTCATGGGGGAGGATGTGATAGGAAAAGAGGTGAGTTCCTCGCACCCACCCCTCACCCTCATGACCACATTGATACTTTTTATCAGGTATGTATATGATTATTCAGACGTCCCGGACTGAAATTTAGAATGCGTTTTGGCTTCCAAAATTATTGGCGAGGAACTCAGAATGTGCGTGGTATTTGGCCCGACTTTGCAGTTAGAATGTGAGTTATGGAATGGAAAACTGCTATTACACCTTGTTTGCTCTTCAAAAACGTTTCTCTGAGTGCATATTTATCAATGCTTTTGCACTTAGAATGACAGTTGCAATTCCCGCTCACACACTTTTTTATCTCTTCACTCCCGCCGGTCTCTCTGCATCCGTGCTTCATGGAATACGTTGGATGGTGAGTTTTATGCTTACCAAAGTCCAAACGCACATTCTAAGTTTCAGTCCGGGACTATAAATGCTTGAGTGGATATATTGAAGTGGTTTCTCTTTGCGAAGACAACTGCTGGGGTGATGTGCCCCTGTGATGGTGTCAAGTGAATGATATTGATCGGGCGTGGTTGGGCAATGCGTTGTGGCTTTGACTTGCACTGCTTGAAGGTTCCCAAGATGGTGAATGGCAACAGGCACTCACTGCTCTACAAATGATGCTGCAGCTGCGGGTGCAAGCAAATGCCACTTGGCGAGGAAGAAACAGAACACCCGGTATCAACACGGGAATAACATGTGCTGTCAAGACAACCACTCAACATAGCCTACAGCAAGGCTGTTTAGTAGCAGTGAGCATACTTTCAGGGTCCTTACATAGAAGACGCTGGACCAAGATCCTTTTTAGACAGTGTGAGATTGCAGAACCTATGTTTTGTCGTGGGTTTAGTTTTGTGCGACAATTGAATATTTCACCTTTCTCGGCGCTGCTGTGCAACTATGTAATTGTTTCGAGGCCGGCTAAAAGCCACAGTTGGAGAGCAACGGCCATTAGCTAAGGTTTGGAATCTAGGACTAGTTTGGAAGACCACCCAACAGCCAAAAAACATCAAAAAATTAGATCAATAGAAGTTCTTTTGAACACAGTTTGCCAGGTGTTTGCCTACAATGCAGCCATCAGCGCTTGTGGGGCTGAATGGGAAATGGCCGTGTGTTTGCTCGTGCAATCGAGAAGGATGAGGCAGTTTGGTGACATTGTCACCTTCAGCGCACTGAACTCTTGACTCAGCTTGGGAGTTTTTTTTCTCATCAGAAGAAAACCAATAATACAATATCATACAATATCAAAACCTGGCCAGAATTGAAGTGAGACCTTGAGTTTGGTTCGAGTCCTTTGAATGTCTATATAGTATTTCGCCACATTTCGCCAAGTTTTTGTGGCCAATTTGTCGTGTGTCGAGGATCAGTGCTTGTGGGAAAGCTGGAAGGTGGGAAGCAGCTTGGCATTTCTTCTATGAGATACCCAAGATCCGCTTGGAGCTGATTCTCGGCTTCAGCTGTTCGTTTGTAAACGATTCGGAGGGCTTTGCTGCGGGGATACCTATCAAAAAGAAGATTAATTCCTATCAAAAAGAAAGTTGATTCCTATCAAAAAAGACATTAATTCGTCTCAAACTTTATTCCCCTACTCCTTTGGTCCTGGTCTGCTGGTTCCCTGGTCGCTTGGTCCTTTGGTCCCTTTGTCCTGGTCCCTTGGTCCCCTGGTCCCTTGGTGTGTCTGGTCCCTTGGTCTGTCTGGTCCTCTGGTCCCTTGGTCCTCTGGTCCCTTGGTCCTCTGGTCCCTTGGTCCTCTTGGTCCTTCGTCCTGGTCTTCGGGTCCTTGCTTGGGTCTGTACTTTCGAGGCAAGACGCGTTAAAGGTGATTTGGAAATCTGGTCATACATCCTGTGAAGCACCGTAGCAGACCTTTTATCGCCACACGCAGCACACCTTTTTGTGAGCCACCCTGACGGTAAAATTTCGACGAAGAAAATGCCATTCCAAGGTAGCAGAGGAAGGAGCCATTCCTACGTTGCAGACCTTTTGTTAGCCTTGCGAGGTTGAAACCTAGAGAGAGGAAGAAGTTGCCATTCCAACGTAGCAGGCCTTTGTTTTGTGAGCAACCCGAGGGTAGAACTTGCTATTCCAACGTAGCAGACCTTTTGTGAGCCATGCGAGGGCAAAATTTACAGGAGCAGACCTGTTGAAGGTGCCATTCCAACATAGCAGACCTTTCGTGAGCCATCCACAGGTCTTGTGGTTTTGCGAGCCATCGTGAAATTCAGACAGATCACGGTTGAGATGCAGAGAGGTCTACATCTACAAAGATCCAGAGGCCTGGAGATCCAGACGGATCTGAAGGTGTAGAGGTCTAGAAACCCACAGACCTAAAGATGGAGGTGTAGAGGTCTTGAGTCTTGAGATCCAGGGAGGTGTTGAAATCTAAGTTCTATACTTGCACAGAGTGTAGAAAGACGTTCAGATCCAGAGATATCAAGAGCTCTTTTCACAGGTCTTCAGATCCACAGAATTTTACAAACGCCACGGAAACTGCACTACAAGGTTCGCAATCGCTGCGCTTGCCACGAAGTCTGCGCTTATAGACGGAGGTTCACGCAATCTGCACTTTGAGGTTCACGAAGTGCTGCGCCTGCCATGAAATCTGCAGTTCCAGTGCACAAAGTGCTGCGCCTGCCACGAGCCCTGCAACTGAAGGTGCTCAAAGTGCTGCGTACAAAGTGCCGCTCCTGCCACGAAAACTGCTACATGGAGGTGCTCAAAGCGCTGCGCCTGCCACGAAATCTGCATTTCCAATGCGCAAAGCGCCGCTCCTGCCACGAAACCTGCTACTGGAGGTGCTCAAAGTGCTGTGCCTGCCACAAAATCTGCAGTTCCAGTGCACAAAGTGCTGCTCCTGCCACGAAATCTGCTACTAGAGGTGATCAAAGTGCTGCGCAGGCCACGAAATCTGCAGTTCCAGTGCACAAAGTGCTGCTCCTGCCACGAAATCTGCCACTGGAGATGCTCAAAGTGCTGCGCGCGCCACGAAATCTGCACATCCAGATTCACAGCGCGCAGCGCTGCCAAGGCGGTTTGCAGTGGCAGGCGCAGCTCTTTGTGAGAGAATTTGTTTGGTACAAAATAGTCTTTTTTTTATAGGATATAAAAATTTTTTGTTTGATATATATTAATTTTCTTTTTGATAGCCCGGCCTTTGCTGCGTGGGGTCAGTGGATATTTGTTGTGTGCTGTGTGGGTGTTCATCGGGCGGCCAATCCCATGCTGAGAAGCCTTATCTTTTGAGGTTACTTAGTAGATGACCACTTGTGACGGGTTTCCCAATTTGTGGAATTGAATGGCATTGTACAGTACTAGTAGCTGGAAGCTAGGTTGGAGGCCATTGCTATAAGGTTGGAGGCCATCGCTATTAGGTTGGAGGCCATCGCTAGTAGTTTGGAGGCCATCGCTAGTAGGTTGGAGGCCATCGCTACTAGGTTGGAGGCCATCGCTGGTAGGTTGGAGGCCATCGCTAGTAGGTTGGAGGCCATCGGTGGCGTAGGTTGGAGGCCATCCCTAATGGGTTGGAGGCCATCGCTAGTAGGTTGGAGGCCATCGCTGGTAGGTCGGAGGCCATCGCTACAGTAGTTGGAGGCCATCGCTACAGTAGGTTGGAGGCCATCGCTACAGTAGGTTGGAGGCCATCGCTATTAGGCTAAGATTAAATCCATCGCTATTAGGTTGGAGGCCATCGGTGGTAGGTTGGAGGCCATCCCTAATGGGGTGGAGGCCATCGCTAGTAGGTTGGAGGCCATCGCTCTCGTAGGTTGGAGGCCATCGCTATAGTAGGTTGGAGGCTGGAGGCCATCGCTAGTAGGTTGGAGGCCATCGCTAGGAGGTTGGAGGCCATCGCTAGTAGATTGGAGGCCATGAAAACTAGTAGCTAGAAGCTACCACGTCCAATTTCACCAGGACCACGGTGGCCTGCAATGCGATGCTCGACGCTTTGTCCCGCGACGCCACGGGTGACGCCACGGGCGACACCGCTTGGGGCCGCGCGCTGGCGCTGTTGAAGGAGCTGCGGCGGAAGAAGCTGGTGGATGTCATCAGCTTCAATTGCAGCATCAGTGCATGTGAAGTGGCGGCGAAATGGGAGGTGTTGGGGAAGGTTTGGGAGGTTTGAAGGATGGTTATAGGAATTGAGCAGATGCCGAATGCTGAGATGGAACAGTTAGAAACACGATGAAACACGTTTGACAGTAAAGGTTTGGCTTCCCAAGGCCCTCTAGACACAGCAGGAAGTATCAGGCAGCCTAAATTAGATCTCACAGTAAAGGAAGTCTAGGTCTTCAACTGCCAAAAATAACAAGGTCTCAGTGTTGTCCTTGGAGCTGCCCTGAGATCCTTGGCAGGAAGCTTTGCAACTTCTGGAGGACTTGCGCACAGATGACCTAGAGGCCGATGTGAGACTTGGCGGAAGACCCAAACAGAAGACATAGGCGACATAGGCGTGTATTGGAATAATGAGACACTCAATGAATGGGTTGTTGTTGGTGTTCCAATACTGGGAGTCAAAATAGAAGTCTCCCTATTCCAAAACACACCCACCTTGCAACTGAGATTGAATTTGTTTGGCAACAAAGGATCTCTTTCAACGCCGCAATCAGCACTTGTGCACAAAGTACACGATGGCAAGAAGCCCTGCATTTGCTTTGGAGCATCCACACTTGTGGAGTCCGGGCCAATGTTCGGCCCTGAGTTTTCCAAAAACAGATCATGTTGCAGTCTTGGGGGTATGCGCTGTGCTTTTAGGGTTAATTTTTGTAGAGTGAGTGGCTTCTGGAGTGTGTGGAGATAAAGACGTGGGTTGTTTTGTCCACGTCGCCATTAGATTCTTGCACCTTCAGGGCCACTAGGGAGAGCGCCCAACGTTTCAGAGACTTTTGCAATAGACTTATATATCACAACACGGTCCACACGGTCCACGACTTTCATATACTTTTCATCATCCAGATCACAGGGCGTTCCACCAGACCTAGGGGGTGGGAGTGGTGGAGGGGGGCAACAACATTCCATTCGAAGGACATTGTGCGAATGTTGTGGACAACGGTGATGATGAGGGTGATGATGATTATTTCCCGAATAGGATGATAACTGTCATGGTGATATCAATCCGATCTTCATCATCACCAGCATAATGTCACAGTCCACCGTCTCACCACGATCATCGCCGAAATTGTTGGTACCAAATCCTAAACTGAATCTTTATGGTGCCAGGGCAAGAAAGTGCACGGCTCCTCTGACGCGGCCAAAACAAAGCAAGCGTTCTGTGACAAGCAGATCAGACAGAAACCAACTGCCATGGAGACTTTGCAGCGCTCACAGCATCACAACTGTAACAATCCCTTGCCCTTTGCACCGGTCTTGTGCCTAGAGATGGTCAACTGTGATGGTTGGGCAAGACCTCACAGTCCTTGAAGTGTATCATGGCCGTTACGGAATGCTTGGATAGAGCATCGCAAGGTTTGAAGAATATGTACTTGCCACCTGAAGTGGCTGCCAAGAAGAAAAAGCCTGGCACCATCAACTCGCACTTGTTCGAACACTGCTACATGTGACAGTGGCACCGCAACAATGGCCCTGACCTGTGACAAAGCACTTAGCCCGGAGTTTGGGTGTTACTTTCGGGAGTTCACCATCCTGTGGTGTGGGTTCCACAGTTTGGAAGGGGACCCTTTCGGGTTCGGAAGGTGTCGCGGTGTCACTTGCCAGTGGCCCAATGAAAGAACATGCAAATAGGTCCCTGTGCAAAACGTCAGCAGAGGGCGACATAGCCTTTGTTGTGAGTGTGCATTTTAAGAGACTTGTGTGCCAAACCGCATATGCCTGGACAAGCAATGAAACCAAGGGCTGGCAAGATCTAAGCCTTGAATGCTCGTGTTTGTGGTCGACCCAAGGCTATTACCTACAACGCTGCTGCCAACGCCTGTAAGAGCAAGGGTGATTGGAAGCTTGCATGTGTGCTTTTGGACAAGTTTCATCACCGCACATCGATTGCATGCAACTGTGTGCTTAGCGCCTGCGAGGAAAGCATCTAGGCTGAATGATGGTGATTACATGCGATTACAATGTTCGACAATGAGTGAAGAGTGACTGTGAATGTGGTATGTTGACATGAGCCCCCGATGGATGACCAAGCTAGTAGAGAGCGGTCGTGGAATGTAGATTTACCTCACCTGCCAGGTGAGGGTCTTTAGATTTTAACGAAGCGCTACTCCTTCCTTCGCCCTCCTTCTCCTGCCATGTCACGTCATGTCACAGCAAGTGCCAGCACACCATAGAGAGCGCCAGCTCAGTTTGGGCACGCACGGACGTGCTCCTTCCCAGCTTGGGCACGCACGGACCTGCACACTATAGAGAGTAGCAGGCCAGTCTGGGCGCGCATGTACTTACGCACGGACCTGCGTACCATAGAGAGCTCGAGCCCATTCTGGGCACGCACGGACCTGCGGACCATCGGGGACTTCAGAAGATATGACAGATAAAAATGCCAAGAGATGCCGGTATGAACGGTGTTAGAATGCCAGGAAGGATGTCAGAAGATGTTAGAATAGACGATAGCTGGAAAGGATGTCAGAAGATATGTCAGTAGATATGCAAGGAAATATTTCTATGCAGATTGAATGCGGGATAGGATGATGTCAGAATTGTTGATAGAAAGAATGCCGGAAGATGTGCCAGAAGGTTTGCCGGAAAGGATGTCAGAATGGATGCCAGGTAGAGTGCCAGAAGGTACGCCAGAAAGGATGTCAGATGATAAACTTGCCATATAGGATGTCAAATCCTATGTCAGAGCATATGTCCGAACAAATGGCAAGCTGGTGGCATGCCAAAACAAATATCAAAACCAAAGTCGGACCATTCCTCACAGCGCACGCCAGAGTTCACAGCAGGACAAATGTCAGAACGCGCGCCAACAAGGACGTCAGAACACTGTCCAGAACAAACCTTTTTTGATAAATGATATGTCACAACACAGACTAGACTAACACGTGTGAAAACATGTTAAGCCTGTTACAGCCTGTTCGCTTGGGGATCCGGGATCAGCCGAAGTAAAGTACTCCTAGTTTTTTGGTGAAGCCTCCACAGGTGATTGGCCCCTCCCCTCTTTCATGTGGGGGCATGTGAAGACCATGTCTTGATGCACTTGTTCAAAGTGTTGGGGCCTGACAAAGCTAGGCTGGCCCCTCAAAAGCCGGTTGCTGCTCATATCCTGTTTGCTACCCGGCGGCTTTGCAGACGTTCCCATGTGCTCGGGCTGGATCCAATGTGTGTGCGCGCGTGCAATTGCAAGGAGCACATTGGTCAATGGCCTCCTCGCTATTGTCCAAAATGCAACAGCAAGCACTCGAGGTTTCAATCGTGTCCTATGGTGCCTTTGGCATCCTTTGGCATGATAGTGTTTAATCGATCCAGCTTCGAGAGTGCTTTGGTACGGTTCGTTCAGTCCGGTAGACGGTAGACGGGTTTGGAAAAGCTACGCTGAGGTGCCTGCATCACTTGCGGAGCTTCTGCAGGGCTTTGGGTCTCAGCACTAAAGTTGCTACAGTCCGCCGAGGCCAGAAAGATGAGATGTTTTTGGCAGGATGAATGAACAAAGAGCAATGGGTGGTATTGGAATACGAGATCCCACTTGGCCTAATGTTTCACAGTCAGTCTATGTTTTTTTTTGCCAGCAGGGTAACTGGCAATTGTATACATAGAAAGGACTCAGAACCCACCTGCGCTGTGACTTCGGGGTGGGAGGGAGCACCCGCAAGGCGTGTGACTGTTTATTTGTTCTGTTGCCCGAAAATCAAAATGGGGTTCTCCCATGTTCTCCCTATTTTCACAACCAAATGATGCCAGAATCAGAGTTTTTTCCGACAGGTTTGACCTTGGCACGGCGGAGAACAGCTACAGAGTAATTCATTTGGACCATGGTTTATATCGTTTTATATGGTATGTTTATGTGTGTTTAATGTTCCCCTTGGATTTCACTCGTGATATGAGGCCAAACTTGAGACGAACGCTGTGGCGTACAGTGCAGCAGTCTTTGCATCTTGGAGGAAAAGAATCTCACATGTCGTAGAAATAGATTGAATCTAAGCAAATGAGAACAGTTCTTATTTACACGATTGCAGCAACTGGAAAGTGTTTCAAGATGCTGACCATCGTAGCAGAATCTGAGGTTGCAGGTGCTTTAACACCTCTAACAGAGCGGCGCTCGCGTTTAGTGCTTTTGTTGTGAGATCACTGTCTCCTACCTGTGAAAACGGCCGCCAAGGCCTGCACCAAAGCCTGCATCGATCTGCAAAAAGAGCGCACGATCCAAAGACGGGCCACCAGTCATCCGAAGCATGAAAGCCTAAGCTGTTCACGGGAGTAGATAGGCAAGAACTAGAGAACCTGCACTGGTGGACAAGGTTTAATTTGGAAGTTACCACCAACTTGGCCTAGTTTGTTCAGTCTAGATTGGAGTAACACGTGAATCAACTGGGTAGATATTATGCCATGCTATCCTTCGAAACGCATGGCTCAGCGTTTCCTGTCAGGCGCAGCGTTGGCTTGCGCAGATGCAGGAGGTTCCGGACCGTTGGGGACAGGGGAACGAAACTGAAACAAAGAGGAGTGTGTGTGTGTGTGTGTCGTTCGTTGATACAGACGGTGATGAAATGGCGACACTTTATGATAAGTTTGATAAAGAAATAAAAAGAATAGGATGGAAGTGTTTGGCAACTTAGATCTCAATGTTTGTCAGCAAGCCTAGTAAACCTCATCATGGAGCCCCCCTTTTGGGACAGGCTTGTTTTGACCAACACGCGATACATTGAGAAGGAAGATGGCAAGAACCTGCCATGGTTTGGTTTTTAGTTCGCGCATCGCTAGTAGGTGGGAGGGCATCGCTGGTAGGTTGGAGGCCGCCGCAAGTAGGGCCCCAGAGTTGTCAAAACAGAGGCGAGAGTGCAACCGGATGAAGTCACCTATGCCACAGTCATCAGTGCGCTCACGAAGGACCGGGGCTCAAGATGGTCATGTAAAAGGACAACTTGGAGAGCTATGCATGGGATCACGCTGAGCCTCATTTTGATTGGGACATCTCGACACTATGGCAAGTCTTGCAAGGAAGAAGACCTTGAACAGTGCTAGCTATAGTTGTGTTTCTATTGCAAGCAACATCCCAGAGGCATAACGTTCTTAGCCAACAGACGCCAAGAGTGGATAGGTGGGCCAGGTGGGTGTGCCTCACAAGAAGTCGGGATCGCCCAAGCATTTGGTTTGGAGAATCTCCCTGTTGATTTCAACGGGAAACCAAGGCCAAAATGGTTGATGATGCCATAGACATGCTGATCCGCATGGAGGCCAATGTGGTATTTGACTTGAGGCATGCGTGTCAATCTGAACAAAGGCACAATTCAATGAATATGCATGAATCTGAGTGCTTGCAAATTCTGCAACTATGCAGAATATTGTTGCTCTTGTGCATTCGGTTGAAGACAAGAGTATATTTTGCTTTTTTGTTGTTGGTGATGGCAGTGTCACACGTCAGAGATTCACTTAACTTGCTCCTCAAAGGTTACGCCAAGAAGGGTAGTCTAGAGCTACGGGACAAGGCAGCAAGCAGCAAAACACAAGTATGCAACATGAAACTGCATTTGTGTGTTCGGTTCTCAGAGGACCTTGGACTGCCCAAAAATCAAGCTGCATACGATTCTCGGCGGCACTGGTGTTTGAGCTGGCTCGAAGTTTGCGCCCTCCAGCGACGACATCGGCCAGGAGCCCCGTTCGTAGCGTCCGATCGCTCCTAGTAGTAAGGCCAGGAGCCCCTAGTAGCTTCTTGTTCCTGGTGAATATTATGTCCACAAAGCAAACAAACGCAACATCGAAAGCCCCAACAGGAACATTGAAGGCATGAACTCGAAATCATCCATGGCCCTGAGGCGCGGGTGGTCACTGGTTTGGGGCGTGCGGGACGTGCCCGGGAAGCTGCTGCGTGGCTCTTTCAGATGGAAGAGGCTGGGTATCCGAGACACCTTCCATGCTCAGCGAGGTGTCTGAGGAAAACATTGAACACACTAAACCAAGCTGCTCCAGGAAAAGGCTGGATTGATTCTAGGCATAAAGCCTGAAGCCTCATCACCAGCCCAAATCTACCAAACCCGAATTGGCTAGAACATGCTATATAGAACAGAAGTTTGAAGAGTCTCTAGCTTTTTTCACTTGGCCTAGTTTGTTCGGTGGTATTCTGTTCCAAGCTGTTTTCATGAGCAGTGCCAGCAGGGATTACAGTACATATGTTTTTGTTTTTCGAATTCGGTGCCCCATATTGGGCAGAATTGTCACAACATCACTACCACTGCCACCACTTTTGTCTCCGACAATGGCCTGTTGCTCAATACAGATCTTGTCAAGACTCTGACAAGCCAAGCTGTCATAGATTGCCCAACGGGATTTAACAACACAGATTGGCCCAACCCTCCTTTATCAACGCTATATTTCTTTGCATCAAAGGTACAGCGTTGCAAAAATCAAAGGTGCAGCGAGTTCGGAAACTTAGTCAAGGCCGCTGCAGAGGAAATGCACGGCAGTAATCACATGTCATCACAACTGAACTCCAGCCCTGCGCGAGCCAGGTGCGTGACCTCGACTCGTGTCGAGTGTTGATCAACTCTGTCGCATCGGAGTTGCTTTGATCAATATCGGCCCTTTATTTTGAAGGCTGTAAGCTGCGACGCTGCAACGCCCTAACGCCCAAGTAGCGAGCCAGGACAAAGACCAATAGTGCTAGTGTGAGCTGTGATCCAGGAGCCGAGTTTTCACCAAGCTGGGATGTGGAACAAGTTTGGCACGCATTGCTCTTGTTTCCACAGATGTCCTTGTCCTACCAGCTTTGCTTTCGCCTTGCCAGTGTGATGATTTCAGGATGCGAACCAAGCAGAGCGGTATACGCGTACCATTGCATACCTTTAAGAAGTACACCAGGCTCTTCAGAAAAGGGCCCGACTTTGGCCACTGCGAATGGGAAACCGATCGAAAGCTGTGCAAGGGCGATGGGCCCGAAATCATTTCCGTTCTTGTTCAAGAACAATGGGTTCATGAAGCAAGATTCTTGACTGCGGCGTCGTTGCAGAGGGAAGTGGTAGAAATTGCTCTTCCAACTGAATGTTCATAGATTGAGAGAAGCCAATGGCGTGACCGGCAATCCAGCTGGGTGTTAAGGAATCACCACCGCAGTAATAAAGAGGCTATAGGCTCGAGAGATGTTTGAGAAGCCGCGCAGTTTTGTGATCGGGCCTGTTGGTGTCTTGTGTAGACAATGTAGACGTGGATCCGGCGTGAGATCGTTGTTCCACTTAAAATAGCTCTGGGGCCTATGGAGCTGACGAGCGACCATGAAGAGAATGAGCAATCGCAAGTTGCAGCCGGTTGGTGCGTCAGATGCCGCGATGCGAGTTGTTTTCCAAGGATTTCAACAGGTTGCAAGTCAGGTCACGAAAGCTAGCCCAAACCTCAAATACTTGATTAAATCATATTAAATCAATTAAACCTTTTGCTGCTTGGTTCAACTCCCCCTGCGGACGGTCTGATGTTCTCTTGGAGATGGCCATGAGCTTTTCATCTCATCAAGCTGCCTCATCACGAAAGGTAGCTTGAGCTACCTGAGTTCCCCTTGCTTTAGCAAAAATGTATTACAATCTGGAGTTGGGATTGTGCATTGAGTTTGGTCCTGTAAGTAATGATTCTGTTTGGGGGGGGGGCCCCCTGGATCATTCCCCCCCTGCGCCGTCGCTGTTTGTCACATGCATCCACCTTTGACGCCGTCATGGACTTCTACCAGGGTTACTTATGATTGCCTGCTACCTTTCATTCACCCCCTCCTCTCTCAAGTGAACATCCTGCTGCTGCTGCTGCTGCTCGGATTGCTCCAACCACGGTTTACAGCAACCACGGCTTACACGAATCCACGCTTTTGACCAACCACCGTTTGCACCAAACCACGGTTTGCACCAACCACGGTTGACACCAAACCACGGCTTCCACCAAACTATTTGCTGCTTTGCTGCTGCCTGCTGTTGCTTTTGCTTTTTCTTTGCTGCTGCTAAGGCTGCTGCCTGCTGTTGGTTTGTTACTGCTCCTTTGCTGCTGCTGCTTTTGCTTGCGCTTTGCTGCTGTTGCTGCTGCTTTTGCTTTTGCTGGCGCTTTGCTGCTGTTGCTGCTGTTTGGTGTTGGCTTGTTACTGCTGCTTTGCTGCCGGTGCTAGTGCTCCTCCTGCTGTCTGGAGCTTTGCTGGTGTTGCTGCCTGGTGCTTTGCTGCTGCTGCTGCTGCTGCCAAACTCTATGTATAATTACAATGGTTCTTCTTTTACCTATTCCCCTTGGTTCTTCTCATACCTACCAATCCGAAAATGCAAAGCCCCACCCCATACTATTGCTTCCTTCACTCTGTCCCCGTTCCCAGCCAAGGTGCCTCTTACTCATCATCCTCATCATTTTCATCAGCCAACTCCCAAAAATGCATTGCGGGGAAGAATCCACATGGTGGCTCCTGAGATTGCCTTGCCCACTCACCAGCTGATCACGAAAGCTAGCCTCAGCTAGCTGGAGTTGCTCTTGCTTCGCATTGGCCAGCTTTCGTTCACCCCCTGGCCTCAAGCCTAGGTTCACGTCGTTTAGTCATTTATATAAATGTGTCTCTGTGTCGTGCGCAGGTTCATTTGATATCATTTTGTCTCCCTGCCACTCGAATGTGGGAGTTGTAGTTTGTTTTGCTTTGCGTTGCTGCAGAGTGTTGATGCCACGCCTCGATCGCAGGAAGGCTTGAATCCCATTGGCCCAGTGTACAATTGGGTGATTTCAGCCTGCGGGGGCTGCCCAAGTCAGACCATGCTGGCGGCCATGACTCGTGTTCAGTGAGTGTGGCACGGCAGTTTTGAGAAAGAGTGTGTTTGGGACTCGTTTTGGGTTTCTATCAAGTGGGGATACGAGCTGATTTATTTTTTAGTTTCTAAAGAGATCGATTGAACCACACCTCTGAGGCCGAGGCTCACGTGGAGCGGAGATGAACCCTGATTTGGCAGAGCAAGTTGTACGCGACGCTGGCTTGTTCACCGAGTAGTTTGCTCCCCAACAGTTGAGAGGAAGGAAAAATAAAGAAAGGTCAAAAAGTGGCTTGAAAAAAATTGCAAAAGGCAAAATATATATATATATAGAGGAACAACAATAGACTTGTCCATCATAGAACTTGGTCACTTAGTTGCAGCGCATGAGGGGATAAAAATGTCATTGAACAAATTATTTCAATCCATCACCTTGTTGTGAAACGGTTTATCATGATTTCTTCCTGCGCCTGCAAGGGCGGATGCTTGCAAGCGGGCAGATGCCGAACGACTATTGCAGCTTAGCAAACAATGGTGCTGAAGATGAGCACGACATGAGCATCTAAGGAAAACTGCAACACGAGTGGCATCTAAGGCCTTGACACGTTGAAGAAGATCTTGGGACCCAAGCGTTTCCCTGTCGTCCAGGCGTGAGTGGGAGGGCGTTTTTGTTGTCAGTAAAGGGAAGGATGGATGGGGATCCACAGAGATATTCAAAACGACCTTTCCAAAGAGCACGTGATGCCTAGATGAAAAACAAATGCCGATTTAGTAGGCTATCCCGGAGCTTCAGCTTCGTGTTCAGAACACGTTGGTCTTGGGGTGCTTGCACAGGCTGAGTTGCCACAGCTGCGGCGCGCTGCTGCTCAAGTGGCACAAGAGAACAAGCGCAGGCTGTTCACGGTTGATTACTGAAACTGGGTCTCGATGCTGGAGGTGTTCCAGTCAGATTGTGTGGGTGGTTAAGCAGGTTGACCCTCATACTCCTTTTTGTTTTGGAAGTTGGTTGGTTCAAAGGTTGATGCATGTTTATTCTATGTTTTGGTTCAGGGGTCTCGGTACCCTTCTCACTTGCATTGGTTCGAATCCACCCTTCCGAAAATAAGGTGGCCTTCATGCACAAAGCGTTTCTAATTGAAGTTCATTTTAAATTCAAGTTGCCAAAAATTGCCTAGACTCGAGCGCCACGAGTCATTTGCAGAGCATTGGGGCTCGAGAGCTGCAGAGTTTGCAGTTGTTTTGTTGAAAAAATGCATTCGTTGCCAGGGGTCATGAAGCCAAAAGAAGACAGGCTGGACAGTTTCTCTTCGTATGACACTATGTAACGGAGAGGGCTTGTCTACGGCTTTGTTCAGCAGTACAACCAGCCTTGCAGTTTAGTGTGAGTAACCTGCGAGTGCATATCAGGCTTCGAATTTCGAGCGCCAGAGAAGAGGGAAAGGGTTTGACCCTCAGCTATAGTGCCCAAAGCTGCACACAGGTCACTCACACAAAATCATCCAAATAAAACTAAAGTTCAAGAGATGAACACATGTCGAACATTCAAGATGTTTGGGTCGGACACAGCTGGGCCATCCAGATCCAGGCTACGCATAAGTTAAGGATATGCATGTGAACCTTGTGGATTCGCGCGATTTGTGGCACGTGTCATGTGTTCATTTGTTGTGGCGACTTTGCACCTTCCAACTTCCAACCTTAATTATGCTTGCAAACTTCTTCGACACGTTTGCATAATTTATATCCGAAAAGTGCCTAGTTTGATGTTTGGATGCTGAAGCTCTTGGGACGGAGGGTGAGTGACCGAGCTTGGCATCAGTAGATTCGAGCTATCCAAGCACGGTTGCCGCCTTTGGCACTCTGGCTGATGAGATTGCTTGCCCGTTCGAAGAGTGAGATATGTTTGAAGTGGGTTAGTAACGGTTAGTAATGGTTAGTAGGGCCTGCCACACAGAGAACAAAGACGCATCACTGTCGTGGCAACCAAGGCGAGGTCGGGGACATGGGGATGAACCAAACGCTGGAGCACTCAGGGAAAAGCCTATTGAAACAAGGATAAGCTTCGGATTTGCATCCATTTTGAGTGTTCATACCATGCCCTTGAGGTCCAGTTGAAATTCAAGAGCCAGAGGTTTTGATGAGCAAACGTAACCAATCATTTTGAATTGTATCGAGGTCATTATGAGTCCGCCTTAATAAAATACTAAATTTATCGAAATTAGTTCTATGAAGAATAATTAATTAGGAAATATTACGAATTGAAAGAAATGGGCAGAGGTGGAGAGTCGTAGTAAAGGTTGAGGAATAGGGTGTTCTTATTGTGGTTGCTTAAGGGTGTTGTAAAAACAAAGATATCCCTAAATAATGGAAGGGTGTTGGCGTGTTATTGTTAAAGTTTATGCTATGAATAGATTTATAAGATCGGTGTATTGCTAAGAACGGATTGAGGAAAGATTATTGGCGATATTTCGCGAGGATTAGGGAAGAGATTATTATAAATCATAAATATAATATATGGATTAGAGGAATATTGGTTATTCGAATTAAAGGAATAATTTTAATGAAATAGTGTTTTTTTTTACAAATTGGTTTAAAATTAAATATATAAATTTATATAAATAATTAAATAATATCGAATAAATAATATGTGTTTAAATATCGTAATTATTTCGATAAGGAATAGAAATAAAAAATAGAAGAGGTGTTTTTTAAATTAATAACATTATTGAATAAAAATAAGTAGTATATATTATTTATAAATTTATATATTTGAATCCGATAATTTAAAATTCGATAATTATTTAAAATAAAATATAAGTTTTCTAATATTTATATATAATTATTTTATATTTATTTAATTTTCTTTTCTTTTTTTGGATAATATATAATTATGTTAATAGGGATGGGGTCCCAATTTAGTCGCTATACAGGTACATGCCATATACTTTTGCTTTAAGTGCCCAACCAGGTAAAAAGAAGCTTTAGCGCGCGAGCTTTATGTTGACCTAAGAGTTAGAACGGGGCTAGGGTACACCTTTCCGTTCGTAGGTTATTAGCCGTATCCAGACTTTTTTGAGCTGGGTACGAGTTGCGGGCTTACCCAACACGATTTGAACACACACGTATTGGATAGAACGGTTACCCTTAATTACTGAAGATGAACCAATCCGACGCTAGCACTGCATCTTTTGGAGCAGCTGTTGCGGCCGCAGATCGGATGAGTGCATCCCACAACTCTAGTCTAGGTACGATCGAAGTGGAGACTCTGACAGCGGTGAGAGAAGATGCGACAGGTAGAGCACGAAGTCGTTCCCCGTCAACGCACTCGACACCACCGTGGGGGACACCGAGATCAGACCGTAGCCCATTGCAGGATGGGTCAGCTGTACCAGTGCCGTCGGACAGCGAAGCTGGAGATCGAGCAAGGGCAAGCACTGACAACCTACAACTAGCACGGGCCGATGGAGACCTGAATGCGAAGTGTGCGCAACTACTTGCCGAAGTGCATATGTGGAATCACCAAAACACATGGATGGTCGAATGTGAGTAGAGACAGAACCAGATTATACAACACGAACCAGATTATACAACACGAGACCGAAGTCCACGAAGTAGTGATGGCACACCTCGAAGAATGTTATGTCGAAGGATATGGAAATTAACGAAGAATCACCCAACTTACAGAATCCAGAGATTGTTTGCTATCAGCAGCACACGACCTGCAATACCAGATGGACACTGATCGTGTGGCAATGCGGGATCGTCTCACCCAGTTGGGGGAGTACGCTGATCGCAACAGCGCAGAGATGGTTAGTCAGGTTGTGAACATCGGCACGGAAGAGATCCAGGCTATATCGGTGGAAAGAGATCGAGCCGTAACCGAGGTCATGACTACAATCGCAGATGCTGAGAACGTCAAGGATCTGTGTAGACAGGAGTTAGTTGGACTACAAAGGCAGAGTGCCAGAAACAAACACGAATATGCTGAAGAGATGAAGATGAGGGAAGCGATGTATGCAAGCAAGATCAAATGGTTATCAGAAGAGAATGAGGAGCTCAACGACCGATCTAATACTCAGGACAAGTTCATCTTGAGCATCAGAGAGCAATTGAAGAAGGCGAACGAGGAGTTGACTCAGACGAGGATTCAAGGATCCGATCGACCGTTTCAACC